TACGTTATGCTAAAAAGTAAAGACGATAATCATATGTGCTAACAATAATATAAAAATAAGCAAAACGTTAGGTTAAAAGCCCAAAAGGTTAATTTTCTTCATATTGTTTTTAAAGGCCTTAAAAGTTCCAACAATTCTGTGTGACTCTGGTAGCAGACTCCACAGCCTTGGCGCTAGGTAACGCCACGATTTCAGTCCGTAAGCTGTGGTGTTGACCTTAGACAGTTTTAGAATGTCGGCTCCCTCCAGATCGCACTTAGTGTTTACTAAAATCTGGTAACGTTGTAATGCTTATACAAGCATTATCGTGATTAATAGCTTTAAAAACCGTACGAGCTATTTTTGCGAGTCTTTGATTAACGGTGAATATACTTGCCTGTTAGTTACCGAAAATAGATTTGCATACAGCGCGAGGGCACAAGGGATTGCAAACCAGAGAAGGAAAATACAAACCCAACTGAAAGACGACATAAACTTTAATGAAGGTAACATCCAAAGGAATCGATATAATCAACATTTAAGAAACATTTTGTGGGAACGTCGAGGTTCTAGAATGCCAAGACGTTTTAATAGTCTTGAAAATATTGATCAGGAGACAGGTTTTAGCTGGACTATCGCATAATCGAGCAAACGGTTCATTCTCTCACCTCGCTCATTTCCTGCAAAATCCAAACGTATTCAGTTTTCCGCTCCTGAACAAGTTTGAGGAAACATAAGTCTTGAAAATTCTTTTTGGAGCAAGTATGTGCGCGGGAACTGGCAGAATATGTCGAGTTTCCGTTGGAAGAAACGTATCACTGTAACTCCACGAAGCACATGTCACACTGACCGAAGGTGTGGGAAATCATGAATGCATAATTAATTTGTCTATTATTTTGATCTCACCAGTCACCCTTGAATACATTTTCCACAACAATTCCCGAGTTATTCATATTTTTCCTATCTGTTTCTTGATGGGATAATACTTGAAATTGAAGGGAGGAGCTAAAGGTCAATTTTTGAAGGATACTTTTTCTTGTTCTTATCAAAAATATTTAACATACAGAAGAAAGCATATTCTGAGCGTAGTGGCCGCCAGCCAAGTTTTGAACTTTACAACACTGCTTAACTTGTCAACGTATCCATCCTCAATAACGGCTTCTACCACGAAACCAACTTCAAAAAAATAGATTCCGTGACATGTTAACTTGATAGTTCACCTTCAACTTCCCTTGTCAATACAGTTTTATTACATTCAATCATTTCTTCTAGTCATTAACATTACTTAATTGACTCTATGTCAATATTTGCCACGAATTAGATCAAAACACGTCCAACTTAGGTCAACAACTGAAGTCCGCTTAGTCTATTTGTATATGAATACGTATAACAAAATGTCTGATGAAGCTAAAATTAAATTACAAAAAAATGGTGGAAATCAAAATTGTTACGACGTTTTGGATTCGTCAAATATACTCTCATAGCTCAGAGATACTTAATATTAGTTTCACCAAGGTTTATCTACTTTTCTACATTTTTAGCCTAATGTCTCAAAGCACACTACTCTAATGAGATTCTATTTACATCGACGCATAATCGTTTCACTTGAGTCGATTCGTTCCTTTAATTGGTAGGTTTAACAATTCGATAGTGGTTTAGCTTGGTCTACACTCTTATCGACAACGACATTCGTCATCACAGTGGTCAAAAAAACTGCGACATTGCAGCCAATTGTGGTAAAATACTCGATTTATACAAATTGCGAAAAACTAGAAGACACATCTCAGGTTTTATGCATTGGAAAATTAAAAACTGAGCATTGTTTGGTACAGAGAAATACGCAGTATACCGGTTAATTTTTAGTGAGAAGAAATTATTACGATCGGTTGAAATTTGTACAATAAAACTTTCCCTTGAAGCTATACTACTGTCTCCCTTAAATACAGCAACCTTTGGTTAGAGCTGGCCTGATTAGATTGTTTACTGCTCGTCAATGAGAGGATATTTGTTTTTGCCGAAACATAAATAGGAACGTTTAATTTTGACCTACAACCCATGTACAGAACTCTCTTAAACCCACGACGAAAATTTTCATTGAACACAACGTAGATAATTGGGTTAATAGCCCCGTTGGCTCTTATCAAAAATTCGCAGGCAAAGAAGAATTCAAAAGGAAATTCAGCGTCGCCGAAATAAACAGAAAAAGTGGATATTTGTAGTGGCAACCAACATAGTATAAAACACACAAGGATAAAAATGAGCATTCGAACCACTTTGCGTCTTCCTGACACAATACGCTGCCGGGTGATTTCGTCAGAAATGCCGGGAATTTTACGAAACCATAAAATGTAGGACATAAGTGAGTAAAATATGAACATGGTCAGGAACGGAATCGAGTAAATTACAACAAACAATATAACAGTGTATGTTTTGGCGGCCATATCTGTGTCAAAATAGGGCGACCAGTCTTCGTAGCAGTAAGAGGTATTGTTATCTTCATGCAGCCGCATGGCGTACATCATCGGCGACATAACCAGGGCAGAACACAGCCAGATTGATGCGACGATCCATTTTAGATAAGTCTTATTCTTCAGATTTTTCAGTGGGAAAACAATGGCGAAGAAGCGATCATAAGCGATGGCTGCCAGTGTCAATACGGAGCTAGCAATCATACCGAACCCCATCGAGTTTACAAATTTGCAAATGAATGTTCCCCAAGAACCGCGAAAAGGGAAGGGGCGTTCAAGAATGCCGGCGATAAAAGGCTCAATGGCAACAGCTGTGTAGAGCAAATCGCTGATACTCATGTTTACGATGAGAAAATAGGTGTTGGCATGCAATTTTTTGGTGGTAAAAACCACAAAGATGACGATGGTGTTGCCGCCTAAGGACAGCACTGCAACCAGGACAGCCAAGACAGCCTTGAAGATTGCCAAAGAGCTAACGACTCCACTCGTTGACATGAAATTATTTTTTTCAGTAGAATCAATCGATAAGCTCTGAGAAATCGTAGAATTATTCATCCTGTCCATCTGTTAATTCAGCAACCCCTCTCTGTCTTGAATCGAAAATAGTTGTAATGTTCGCGAACGGTTAACAACTGGAAACGGTGCTTCAATGAATCTATAGACTCGAATCAACCTTTAGTTTTGCGGTCTGCTAATCTTGAAGCATTGATAAAAATGATTGCATGCAAATTATCTCAACCTGCGTTGCAATTAAGTTTTCCAGGTATACAATACTTTAAGTGTGATGCAACCCTCCCCTTCATGCGAATAAACTACGTTATTTCCCACAAAATTTCCCTGATGGAAGATAATAACATTTTTGACTATCGTCAATTGTACTTTCCCTGTTGCCGTCAATGTTTCTTATTCTGCATGTGGTTCTATAATCACAGAACGAAAACTTAAATAAAAAAGAAGAAAAAAAGCACCGTAGGAAAAAAGACATAAGTTGCCTCGTCGGTACAATTGCATTTGATGTTTATAATTATTCTGTATATCCATTATAAAGTAATCTCATAGCTTTTATCTATTCACACATTGTTCAACAGAGGTCTACTACTCGGCGCAAAAAATTACTGCAGGTTTGAATGATTTAAGTGATCGATTTGGCACTAAAGAACACCTCTCTCCCATGATAAAAATTAAGAAGCCTTTCCTGCAGTTTACAACAAGACAATGCAAAATATCGTCGGTGGTTTTCTTGCTAAAAGATAATTATTACAAACGCCATCAACTGTCGAGATTTTCCCTAAATATCTTCGATTTTATTGCAAAAAAATTGAAAAGAATTTAATTTATATGCAGCATTTATAGGCTTTTAAGCGAGAAAAAAGGTTATATTCAATACAGTTTTTTCGCGATTTTAAAGGTTTCCATTTATCTAGAGCGTACAATGTAGATGCAAATCATTAACATTAAAATTGTCTGGAGTTTATTTTCAAGATTTTGAAGTGCTTTCATGTAAATTCGCTTAAGCCTTCTGATGTCGTGTAGCACTCAAGAATCAGTGCGTACAAGAATACAAGTGGGGTAAGACAAGGAACTCACCGCGAATGACCATTGCCTTAAATGACATCCTCATCCTTCTGATCTCGACGACTGTGGATCCGACGATTTATCTCTGGATCAGTCAGCTAATCACTTGAAATTCATTCAACGATGAGCAGTCTGCACGAAACACATGCAAACTGCAAAGGAAATATTTTGGCAAAATACAGATAAAAGTGACTAAAATGACGATCATGCTGGTTAAAATATTACGCAATCAAAACGCTCCTCAAAGGAGGATTCGAAAGTGGTGAACCTTGCTCGTTTTATAAAGCAAAATATAGAAATTATTTATAAACAGTTTTGCGCGAATGCTGCAAGCGGACAGATATATCTTATGGCATTTTAAGGAAAAGCTCTCCGATTGGTTAACATCCTTCAAAAACAAATCATTTCAAGATCTGAACATTAACATTCTTTGAAAAGATAGGAAAATCAAAGACTAAAAACAATCTTGGACAGTGTTGCTCAAAGGTCACATTCTACATCTTCTACTGCAGAGTTTATTCTAAAGCGTGGCTCCACGGGATTTGCAATCCAAAAGAAATGCTGCTTAAAACTTTCGTGTACTCGTCAAACGGGGCGTAAAGGTTTTTCCCAAGGATAAATACAATTTCGAAGTACTATTTTATTGAAACACAAGAACATAACAAACAACATCATTGATATGACACCTTCTATATAGTACTCCCTTGAACTTTAAAGCCTCTGACCCCCAATTGCCTTCTCTTCGTCGGTTTTACACGGACAAGACCACACACATATGTCCAAACACCTTTTGGGGTACCCCTCTCTTGGACCCCCTTTCTTTAAACAGGGCCCCCCTAAACTAAATAAAGGAGCCTATAGGCCCTTTTTGACTAATTTCTGAAACAAACCCTGCCATTGATTGTTATCATTCACAACGATCACAAAACATTCGAGTGAAAAACTCAGTAGGTAGCGACCTTAGGGCGAGTCAGTATTCTTGCGAGATCATGTACTTAAGAATTTAGATGACCATTTTATTTCAGTGATGAAAAGTACAGCGAGTTAAAACATTTTACCTTGAAATCGTGACTAAATCTCATCTCAAAACTGACAAAGAAGTGATGATGGTTGATGAAAAAACATGTAATGTAAACGAAATACTTGGCAACAAGCTCCTCTATTAGTACCAAGAATCTCACATAAAGAAGCTACAGAACTCGCACGCAAACAGAAAACAGTCAGTTTCAATGTGTCCAATCATATAATATACATTGATAAAATAGTCATTCAAAGATCTGATGAAACAATGATCGATTCATCTTTTGAATTGAAGAGCAGCGTCATGGATTCGTGTACACTTCCTGAACAACATTCGCTTTAGGCCAAAATAATTCGCAGTTGTTTTTCATGCATTGAAGGATTTCCTTTGCTTTCTTTTCTCCAGAGAAGTAGGAGCCTTGTGCAAATCCCCACCAATCGGGATCAACTGCGTCTCCAGCAAAATACAGCTTGCCCAACTTTCCTCCCAAGTTATGAAAGTCTGCAGCAGTAGTTCCAACCTCGGCGTTTGCATACGATCCACAGACAAAAGGGTTTTGGGACCATTTACTGTAGAATATACCTAAGATTCGTTGAAAAGCGTAGGAATGTAACCACGTTAAAAAGGCCGTAACAAGCATCCTATACATCATCATATTGCAAGTTCGAAACGCCTCTGCTCGAGATCAGCGAGAAAATTCGCTCGTGTTGCGAAGCTCGATCCTCTAAACTCGATTCTGATTATTCGCTTCCCGAAAGTGGATCGTCAAAAACTTGACTCTCGATCTTCAAAAAAAGAAATTTCACTCCCTCCTCGATTCTAGAAAGTCCCAAGAATCAAGGATTGAGTTCTTAATAGAGACTTAGTTAACCTGGCTTTGACCGTGTCAAGTGTAATCTTTTATTTTCTGATCAAAGTTAACGTTCAACTTAAAGTTATAAATATATACTACTCTACCTTCAGCCTCTGGGATATTGGCGCCATAAACCTTCTTCAGCTCTGTCATGATTTCTTTCAGCGTCTCCGATTCCGGCTGACTCTCCACTTTGAGGCTCATCTCACCCGTGACAGTCACGTGCAGGATGGCTGAGCCTGGCAAAATGTCACGTGCCTCGATGTCCATCCATATTGGGTAGTACCCCCTGACACGGTGAGCATACAAGATGAATTCATGGCTGTCCCAGAACTTAAAGGGAAACTTAATGAAAATTTTAGTGTAGTGCGCCAATGGAATCTTGTTAATGGCTTCAATTTTCCACTGAGGAAGTTTAGGTGAGAAGGCGACGGAATTACTTGACAGTACGCCTGTGCTGAACGTGCACAGTCCATAGCTTCCAAAGTATGTCTCTCCATCCGCGGTACTAACTCTAACACCATAGCGGTTGTAAAAAACAGACTTAACTACCTTGTTCAAAAGGATTTTGTCTTTAAAATCATCTGCCATGTTTAGAAAGATACTTCCATATCCTCGAGGATCAGCAACAAAGAAGTCGACTGAGCGAGATCCAAAGCCCGTCAATGATTCCATCTTTGGTTTTTCAGCGAACTCAAAGTCCAGGACGGAGTATTCAATAACCCTCTTAGCTGGAGTGTCAGGTCTCCAACCAACACTCGATAGTGCGGCCCTTACGGACATATCTGGTCGCTGATCGTTAGTTCTTTCTCTTGATAATTCTTCGAGCTTCTCTTCGGCCTCAGCAAACTGCTTCAGTAAGTGACGGTCTGTGATGTCTCGCCCTCGTTCGTCCCTGGAGGCAATTAGAATAGAAAGTTCTGAGGAAAAGTTCATCACTAATCAAAACAGTTGATGAAGTACAGCTATTCAGATGCCTTTCTATGGAACAACCCGCGTCAAAAATACGTGCGGGAAGTATGTATTTTTGTCATTAAGGGAACTATGGCTTTCTCTATAAGTATCATCTAGGATTACAAAATGGCTTGACCTAATGCATTTTCCGTCGCTGTACCTTGCTAGTAGGGCAATGTGTGTTTGCCCAATTTTACCAAACTATTTTTAGAACTGGAAATTCGAGGTTTTGATATGAAATCAACTTAAAAACATCGGGCAAAGATCTGAAGAGAATTTTGCTTTTCATCAGCACACTGATATTTCATGCATGCACGTCGACACATATTAGCCGAAGCGACTCGAAATTGAAATTCATGTGTAAAAAAAAGGATACCAAATATGTGACTGAGGTACTAAGTGGTTGGTAAGCTTTTTTTTTATGAAAAAACCCTGATTGAGCGTGACTCTTACATCGCGAGACAAACGATGAAACGTACATTTATCTATAAAACTACAATGAACAACAACACTTTCCAAGATTTACCTAATTATAACATCACTGTAGTTGGTATAAATCCCTCTCAGATTGTGTTTTTCTTTAAGATCCCATAGAGGATTCTTTTTATCACTAGCATAATGGATCCAGTTCGCTCCTTCTTCAAGTTTTACTCCTGCGAATGACTCCTGTTTGAAACGTCCTCCAATGTAATCCTGAGCTTCAAGGATCAAGAAGTCATTTATGCCGTTTTCTTTCAGAGTTTTTGCTGCAACAATACCTGCAACACCTGCTCCGAGAATCAAAATTTTTGCCCGGCGTGTTACTGGTCTACGGTCAGAGATTTGTCGGCCATCAACGTTTCTTACAGGAAACAGTCGAAGCACGAATAGAAACAGACATATACCACTTTTCTTCATTCTGTAAATCACACTCCTGCAATCATAATAAACTTTTACAATTCCTTGAACAATTAATAATGTTTTGTTTATATTGTTAGATAACTCACAGACATATCAGACTACCAAACCTGGAACACTAGTTACCAAATCATATTTGCTGCTGACAAGAATTTCAAATCTTATATTCGTTTACAAAATGATGTAGCTCTTAGTTCTTTCTTTTTAATATATTAATCTAAACCATTACAGTTTGAGTGGAAAAAAAGTGAAAAAACTTCCAGACTACTTTCACTCACCTCTTTCGTCAAGAACTCGGTCTTTTTCTAAGGTGTTGGTACTACTGAGTTCAGCAAGCATCAAGAAGTCAATAGCTAAAGAGAAGCAACTTTTTTTTTTCTCAAGCTGCTACAATGAAGGTGATCAAACAGTCAAAAGAGAAAATTAAACGCACCTTTACAATTGTAGCAACAATTTCAGATGACAAATACGTTCCAGATCTCTGAAATGTCGCTTTTTGTTTCATCAGGCTGCTCCTATATGTTTCATGCAGACATGACGTAGACAAGATATATTTAACTTTCCAGTATGATTCAACAAATCTGTGCCCGATGTATCGTCTGCAAAATTACTCTGTCAAAACGTAAAAAACGCTGCAGTGGCAGCTGTCACTCAACAGAAGCACATAGATCACGCCCCAGCACACAAATGATTTCGTCTAAAAATGACTACGAATTAAGTTTGGCTATGCTCACCATAACATAAAAACCAGCGTAATTGGTAAAAATTCCTCGCAGATTGTCTAATTTACTTTCCCAGATAGAACGTGGTTCATCAGCAAAGGATCCGGCTCAAGCGTTCTTCTATCTTCACCTCAGCCAATGATCTAAATTTGAAACGTTTCCCAGAGTAAACTTGAGATTCTCAGGAACAAAAGTTTCGATGTAGAGTTTTCGTCACCACCCTTCCTCCAACACCACCTCTAATGATCAAGTACCTTTGTTCATTCAAGGTCTCTTTACCGGGTATGGAGGCCATTGACAAGGGTTCGTGGTACAAGTTGTGCAGGGGGCCATAAATTGCACCATCTCTCTTTGTCTAAATTGGCCGCTTACCTCGCAATTCCTATTTTCTAATGATGCTGGACATACACATATATCTCTTAGTTTCCGCTGTTTTGAATGGCCGCAACAGAATATCAGAAAACTCCAAAATCTTAAATGAACTTCCAAATTTATTTAGCAACTATTGCAGAAGATTCCCTTCCATTTACAATAACATAGAAAACTATTGTCATCTTGAGACAATTTTTACTCTAAAAAATTATCAAATATTCTAGAGATACAGACGAACAACATCTCCCATTCAAAGCAATTCTGTTCAGCTCGGATAATTTACGTCACATTTCGAAGATAGTCCTTGCACGAACGTTCCGATTGGCGTGAAGCCCGGGAATAGTGGCGCTATTATGACGTCTTCTTACACGTGACTTTGGAAAACGCAACATCAGAAGAGTTTCTTCAACTTCTGTGGCCTGGGCACGAGGTTGTTTGATTTCCGGTTGTGCCACGAGAACATAGCGACTGAGGAGTGAAGAAAAGCATTACAAAAATAAATAAATAAATAAACGTTTGCACTTGTTGAAATGTATGTATACGAATAGTAAAAAGCAATTCCATGAGGTAATTTGATGTAAGGAGTCAATCAAGCAAAATGAAAAACATAGGGAAAATCAATATTGTAACTCACAAATGGTGAAACCTTGGAAAAACGGAAATGGAAAAACTCCTGGACTGAATAACAAGGCTTACCACAGTCCGAAACATGCTATCAGTTTTTAAGCGGACAGAACATCTTTTAAAAATCACATCACAATTTACCTGCATTTGCTTGGGATTGAGGCTGACGGAGGAGGCTTAGGTAGGACATTTACAACATCCGACACGTCATGGTCACATGTCTTCAGGTCCATTAAACGTTTAGCCAATGGGGTAAGCTGCACACCTCCAGGCTGGGAATTAAGCCTCAGTCGGAAAGGACGTTCGTTTGACAACTCTTGTTCCTTCAGTTTCCAGATTTCAGTTTGACTGAGAGAGGGCGAGGGCGACGTATCCCGATCATCTACGAGGGGTGGGGTGATGAACTCCAACACTGGGTCAGACTTAGGCGGTTGTTCTGCGGGTGGATTGAAAAAAAAAACACCGATTATAGGTCAACCAATTTATAAAGCAATATGATTGTAAATATTCTAGTGGTGAAGGAAAGCAACGGACAGAAACGAAGCACATGCTACGGCAAGAAAGAAGAAATGATGAAATTACTTTATCTCAACTAAACTGAAAGCAAGACTTCTCGTCAAAAGAATACCTTGCCCGCACTCTAAGTGACTCGAGTTTTTCCATCTTTCCTTCTGTTTGTTATCGAGAGCTTGTCTCCTTTCATTGGCACTTTTCTGTCTTTCCAAACGCTGTTGCTTCAGTCGATAAGCCCTGACAACAATAATTACGAAATTAACTCAATGAAAGCTACTACACAGCAGTATAAAAATGGGAGACTTTGAGGAATTATTAAATGTGTGTCGACAATGAGCTGGTATTTCATCAGCCCCTTTTGATTCCGCCATCTATTTTTCCAACCAACCCGCAATTTCCCGCGTTTGAGGCTGGATAAAAGTATATTTTTTCTATTCCCTCCTTCATATGTCCCACCTTATTACGATTAGTTATTGCGATTAGTATAAGTCTAATAACATTTAATCAATAAGCGCTCAACACAAATCTAATTATATGTACTCTTACCTTTCTAAAACCTTATTTTGCCAATTTCCACCGTAGTCGGTTGTATCTAAACTTGGGATGTCGCGTGAATTTGAGAGTCTGGAGGCAAAAGACCAAATTAAAATTTAGTGATAGATGGGAGAAACAAAAAACTGCAAAGAAAACTGCACAATAAGAAGACACAAAGCTTTGGAGAAACTAAAGGGAAATGTGAAGGAATTATGGTGTGGTAAGAACTGAAGGGTATACTTGGTACCTCTCCCTTTCGAATGATTCTCCAGAGAGTAGATCCTTCATGTAATCCTGCAGCAAAAATAAACGCACAGTTGGTATAAAGACAGATATGAAGTGAGTGAGAACCAGAGCAATTTTATTATAGCTGTGGTCAACAAATACCTTTCTACCATGCGATTTAAGCTTAAACGAAAGGATTAAGGAAACTGTTAAAGAAAACACAGATCCAGTCCAATTCACAAATCCAATCCAAATCCAAAACTCGCTCTTTCCTCACTCGTTCAAAACGCACTTAGTTTCCACCAACAACAGCTACAGTGTAAGATCGATGTTCGAGGTAGGTAATTTGTTTTGCAGGTGCAAAAGTCGATTTTAATGTTTTGGAAAAAATTAAACGTCACTGACAAATTAACTTCATAAAACTATGCAACTTTCCGTAATCTGCCTATATTTTAAGCATTTCTTTACCTTATCCGCATCGTGTATGTATGTATGTATGCCTATACTGGAGCGCATGGCTTGGTAGGCATCTAAGAAATCCTCTGGAAACAAAGTATACATGCATTAGAGAGTTATGCACAAGCATGAGCGTGAATTCCATTTATTAAGAAAATACCCTACATCACTGATAGCGCAGAAAATTCTAAAATATGAAATCACAAGGACGAATTAAGAAAGAAAAAGAATAACATTTTATTATGTAACAAATGGCCTACAACATCCGGGATGGCTTGGGTCAAATATAGCGACCACTGGCACCCGAATTATATTTCGTCCGGTTTGACAGGTAGCCATTTACATTCTTAGGAGGAGAAAAGGTGAGGATGAAGGTAAAGTATGTTTCTTAAGAACACAATGCGATGGTAAGGTCTCGAACCTAAACATCTTTTGATGAGATCACTGCTAACTCATTTCAATAAACTCATAACTGACGCTTTTATCTTAATATAACGCCAATTCTTTTAAATGATTAACAAGGAACTGTGGAGCAGCTAGGAAAGAGAATTAGTGATCCCATCTAAATGCTACGGCATCCTCCCACACTTTACAAACGCTTTACTGACCATCTTCATCAGAAGACACGCGCTTCCACGTGTTCATCCTGGCAGGTGTGGCCCTCTTACGTGTCTTAGTTTGCTTCGTTCCTTTATTTCGCGATGGGGTATTCTCATACGGGAACATCGAGTGTTCTTCCTGGCTTGTGGCGTTACTGCGAACAGTGTCGGCAGTTTGTGGTCTTTTCTCAGAGTCTTTTTTGTTCAGGTACAGTATATTACCTACCAGAGAAAATGTGAAAACATGGCACTCCTGAAATACTGGGCAATAGGTAAAAATATTGTTAAACGTCACTTTTCACCGCGATGGTTGATTTTGGACATCATTCGATACAAGAGTGATCCTCCTACGGAACTACCTAATTGTGTTATTAAGTAAGGAGGGCAAATATCCGAAACGCCCCATTAACTGGAAGAAAATCTTACCAAGAGAAGCGTGGCAAGCTGTATGTCATGCTCCGAATAGAACACATATATATTTCGAAGATATTGGCCAAAATGGTTACAGAATGTAAATCCTCCAGGTGTTGATTTAACGACGAACCAGGAGAATTTCTTTTGAAAATCACTTAGAGTTCTTACTAAAAACGACGTGTATGACAGACTGATCTACTGGCTATCAAAAGAGAAGACGTTTATCACCTTTAGGGCTCTCTTCCGCTTTCTTTGTCGCTTTCGATGTAGCAACACTTGGTGAACTACTTGGGCGTGTGGGTTTGGATGGGAAAAGAACCTCCCGGTCCGGTTTCTGGAGTGCTTGTATGCACCAGCGCATAAGAGTGCTTCCTTGTTTTCTAACGCTTGGGGGCCTCGATGATCCTGGCGTTTCATGTCCACCTGCACCAGTCTGCAGACTAATGGTATCGATAAGCCGTGCAAGATCTTCATCATTCAGGTCAAAATCACCTTGGTTCACCTCATCAGTTCTTAGACTGGAATTATCTGTTGTACCGTGTTTTTGTCTGTAGCGTCCATCCGCTGACCGAGTTCTAACGTTACTCGACGTAGGTGTGTGTTCCCGCCTACTTTTCGCAAGTGCGAATATTGTTAGCGGAGAAACACCTGACGAGCTGTTGGACGTTTTTCTCAACGGGTCACCAGCCCTTTTGTTGCCATAAACAGGCAACACTGTTTCTTTGAAGACTAAGCCAGCATTATGGGATCTAAGTGTTGGGGAATCTCTGCCAGAGGTGTACAGACTGGGGAACTGTCGATTACGTCGAGATGTTCGGATGTGGTCTTCGCTAAAGGTCACACTTTTCTGTACGCGATCGCTTCGTGTACTACGACAAGACGACGTTGGATCTTCAGCTTGGGCGCTAGTATGTTCATCCATCCCCTCTAATTCATCATCATCATAGTCTTCAAGAATCTCGGCATCAATCGGGACTTCATTGAGTGGTTTTTGTATCACCTCGCCTGTATCAGGATCAATGAACGTCACTAATTGAGGATCACTTGGTTCAGGTGAATCACGTCTTTCCGGCTTATCATCCTCCACTGGAGCTTCCTCTTCATTTTCCTCTTTACCCTTGGCTTCGTTGTCTTCATTTAGTGTATTTTCGTCTTTATTATCAGCAGTCTGATTCTCGTCGCTCAGTAGAGCAGTCGTTGTATTTTCTTCAGCAGTTCTTTGAGAAGGCGAATATGATGTGGTCATTTGCGGCTCTTTTGCGTCTACAAAAAGTAAATCAGTAATTCATGGTCATTTACCATACATGCGATTTCTTTACAAATGTGCAACGACGAGAATTGAAATAAACAAAATCACTGTCAAGAGAAAGGAAAACCGAAACAACAAAACAAGAGAACCTTCAGCTTTCTCTCTTTCGGGCATCTGTTCCTTGTTCTTTGCTGATCGTGAAGACATCTGATCTGGAACCTGTCTAGAACTAACAGTGTCTTGTCGTATGAAAGGTTTGTGTTCTCCTGTTGGCATGGTAACAACACTGGGCATCCGATGCGTGACAATAACATCATCGTCATCCCCATCATCATCATCGTTTACTTTTATTGTATCTTCGCTCCTCTGTTTCTCTTCTTCAGCTTCACCAGACTCATTTACAATCTTTTCTGTCTCTTTCTCTTGTATTTCTTTCGTAGCCTCTTCCTCTCCCTTATCTTTAGGCTTCTTTGCTTTCCTTGCAATGGGCCTTGGGATACGTCGAGGCTAGAAAAAGAAAAATCGCCAACTTATGTAAAGTTTAAAAATCTACCTCAAAAATTATGAGTTAAACTTCTTGCAAGTTGACAATGCTACATATTTGAAAACTATTATGATTATCCATTCAGCCGTTACTGATTTTCTTACCTTAAACGACTTGGGCTCAGGCCTCTGCTCAATCAATTTTCGGGCGACTGGGGCGGCATATCCGGGACCTCCAAAGCCAGAGCGCAAGGAATTAGAGTTAATGGTTATGTTTCCCATCCTCCCTTTCTCTCGTCGGAAGCTGGGAATGACGGGAACCTTCTTCTTTCCTTCTTTGTTCACATCTTCGCATCGTTCACAAGGTTCTTCGTCGGATTTTTGAGGCTCTTTCTTTTCTTCACCTGACAGCAAATCAAAAGATGTATCGAGAGCAATAACGGAATGAACTTCGATTATCAAATGTTTACACCACGCACATTCTGTAACTGGGAGGTCCACACCTTGATTGCGAAAGCAAAATTTTTCAACTCTTGATAAGCTGCTAAATATTTCAATCCTGTCGTTGGTAAAAATTTTGTTTCAGTAAAAGTAATAAGAATTACCATACGTCTCATCAAGGGAGGAGGGGAAGTGGGGATTGCAAGTTCCCCATAAACTCCTTCCCCCTGGATACGCTACTACAATCCTTGCAAAAGCAAGCACAAGCCTCATCATTTTAAGTAATCATATTTGTAGGAGTTAAAGAACACAGATAAAATTACATTACCTCCACTCGAGTCCTCATCAGACTCCACCTCCTACAAGCAAAAGGGAACTGTTCTCAGTTTCATTATTTAATAGAATAATTAAGCATCAACAACTGAGTTGATAACGTAAATTGGCCACCGTAAAGAGTCAAGAGTTTAGCTTTTAAACTCTTTACGGCAGCCAATTTACGTTATCAACTCAGTTGATATTACTTAATTACCCTGTTATACTCTCCCATCGACGCAGACCCAAGTTTCCTTAGAAACTTACCCCCTTTATTTACTATTTTATATATCATTTAATCGTTATCTAAAGAATACCAATTACACAGTACACGCAAAACAAAACCTTCGAAAAAACTTACTGGGGGAGGGGTGGGAGGAGGTGTTGGTTCTGGTGGAGGAGTTCTGGGTGGTGAACTCACTGGCGAGTTTCCAAATTCAGGAAGATCCCATAATTCTGTGCTGGTTCTGCGTTCAGACATCGCTACAGAGCTTGCCAAAGAAATTCGCCTGGGGGTGGAGGATGGGGAACCGTAGACTTCAGTCGGAGCGAGCGAGAGGCTGTCCGACATCAAGCTAATGGACTGAAAGTAAAGCAAAGAGTATTATAAGTTGCACTATTTTAAGGTGTAGGTTGTTTGATGGTTTGTCAAAACTCTTCAGTAATTGGAATAAGATCTTCAGATGTTGGTTTGCGAGGATGAACAAACGAATAAAATAACAAAAATTTTGTGTAACTTGTCACATTATCAGTGTCTTTATACGAGTACTTAAGAGTAGTTTTCAATCGAGTGACGTTTGTTTTCAGTTTTGCGTCTGATTGGGAGTTTTCTAGACCAATCACAGAGCGAAATAGATCAAAACCAACTCAAAATCTGTTAACTTTCGACATTCGAGGGGAAATTGCTTTAACCTCAAAATAACTATTACTTGTACCTCTTCGTCCTCCTGTTGGTTTTGCGGTTCAAGGTCTGGGGGAGGTCGACCTTCCATAAACCAAGACGTCTTCAACTGTAAGTTTGGAAATGGTACCTAGAGATTGACAAAGAGAGAAAGTTCACAACTTGGGAATTAAGGAAAAGACTAATACTTGCGGACCAAGTTGGAAATTAAAGTTTTACCAAGTAGTTTTCCATGTTAGTAGGATCTGGTTGCAGAATCTTTTTGCTTTCAAATCTTACTGATGGGTCCTCGTAGATGTCTGATTCTATATCGTATTAAGCAAAAAAAATAAAAAAAAGGTGAGCTAGGCAATGAATTGACGATTAATACAGACAACCTTTTATCTACCTGTTTCAAACGCCTCATCGTCGATTGATTCAGATCTGCTGCCAGGTAATAAGCCATCCTTCACAGGGTACACTGAAAGATTAAAGAAAAATTTCAACGTCACACGCCTAAGTAAAAGGGGCTTTCAAGATCTGTACAAGCCGATTTACAAGAAGTCTGTAGGAGCGAACTAAACAGAAGTGTTTTTTTTTACGCAATGGCAGTAATTGAAAAATTCGTTACCCTAGTTATACCCTGCATTAAGCGTCATTAAACCGTCACCAGAGTAATCACCACGGCCAACCAGAATAAAGGAAAAGATCCCAAGGAGCCAAATTGGAACTCAAGTGTCTGGCTTGTACGCGGGGAAAACGTGACTTACCAAGAACTGATTGATTTCAACGTAGTTTACATCTGATTGGTGGATAGGATAGCGTAAATATTCCAGGCCAATGACAGAGCGACAAGCAGCAAAATCAACGCAGTCCTGAAGAGCTTTTTAAAAAAATCTAGCTCCCAACGCTTCATCCATTTTTGTCCTTTTCAGCCAATATGTGTTCCTCCTTGGAGGAGTTTCAGGGCGTTTGTGTGTCGATTTGAAAAGCTAAACTGCTATTTGACTATTTTAACTCACCTTTTTCATTTGGAATTATGAAGATGTGCTGTTTGAAACCGATTAGGATATCTCCTTGAAAGAAAAGAGAGAAAAAAAACGACGAATATCAAAACGAGGACATTGATTGTAAAAAAAATTGAAAGGGTTCTAGTGAACGTACATGTATGACTGCTTTACAACTTCATCACTGATATCAAAGTTGATAATTTTCTGATCTTTTTTCCAAACAAGCGAAGGGAAATCTTAACGCGCTCATGAAAATAATCTATAAAAATCCAACGATCTGTACCTTGTGTATTTAGGAAAGAGGCCACTGTTAATGTTTCGTTCATAATGATTTCTCGTAGAAGGGTTTTATTTTTGTCCCAAATCTTGATGATGCCATCTCCACTACAACAGCAAAAGTTCAGGTCATGAGAAAAAAAGTAAGGAATACAAAATAAGGAAGCTTTTGACTGTTAAACCTTAAACTCCCAGGAGAACTTGGTGCTAGATCAAGAAAACAACTTCTACCTGTTGAGTTTGAGTATTCTCATTCCATGTTTTCTGGATAATTAATGGATATCATACAGAGAAATTACATCTTTATCACTTCTGAGAGTTAAACGGTAAAACAAATTTTCTTTGCCAGTACTAATGAAGATACATAGTGAACGGAATGAAAAATATGCATACTGAGGGCGTAAAAGGTTTTAGAAATCCCATGACAGTTTTATGTTTGAACTCATCCACATAAGCAAATTTCGTTTTCAGCAATATTTTCGCCCTTGTTCAAGAACATTAATGGCCATATTTTCCTGTCAAAGTTGCCAAAGCAAACTTGGGGAAACTTATTCAAGGAAACGCGTTGGTTAAACTAAGCTTTAAAATAACACATGAAACGACGCAACACTAACCTGACACTACAAAATATCTCCAGGTTCGAGTTCGAGTCCACACTGTTAATACAACTCTTATGATCCTTGGGAGGTGAACGCCTGGTTCCCTTCGCTCTCTCTTCTGTTGAGAAAACAAAAACATTTAAATCATGGATTCAATCAATTTAACTCTCAAACTTGACAAGTTTTGCAGTTATTGAACACCCAGAATCACTACGTTAAGTGAACGTGCGTATCAGCTATGACAACGGAATCCATGGTTATACGGTCTAACGGTGACTGTACACGGGAAGTTTACTGTAACTGCGGAAAAAGTTTGGCTTTAAATTGTAGACGATTTTCGCAAATTAGATCATAAATTTGAGCAGCAAAGACAAGGAGACAAACTTCCTTTCAGGGGAAGGATTGTGGTTCAATTTCCGAGCGCAAACGTATGTTGTCGAATATATGTATGTTCATTGTTGTTCACTGTATTCATTATGTTATGTTACTTACCTTGATCTTCGCGAAATTCATTGTTATCCACAGACAGCGAATGAAGATGCAAGTATCCACTTTGATGTCCACACAACAAAATATTGTTCTGAAAACCGAAACACTTTCCTTTAGTTATGGTAGGGTAATAGAAACGTGTGAAGTCCAATTAGGTCTGTAAATATACGAGTGATTAATTTACTGCCGTCCGATTTGTTAATCATGAGTATGATTATTAACCGACTTGGAGGACACATGGTGCTGTTATCATTGAATTAAAATTCTAAAAATTTGCGAGAAAAACATCGTTATGTACAGTTTGGGAAATCCTCAGCTTTGGACGGTACGTTGTTCCTAAGGTTATAGTAAATCACTCTTTTGAGAAAACTAAGCGTGATTGACTGATGCCACAGTCCGATTACAGGTGTGCGTTTACAACCAACTATATGTATCCCAGCACACCGTCCCATTACAAATCTATAAAATAATTTAAGAGAACTATACTAGTTCATCCGGCTATCACATTTGAGCAAGTTGTAATGTTTAAAATCAGTGCAAAATCGGACTACTGCGAGTAAATCACGTTCGAGACTTTTGTTATAAATTTTACTGATCAGAAATAATACGATATGCGCTGCACGATAGTAGCGGCACAGGAAGCAGTTATGTCTACTTATCATTAACACAACGTTTCAGATCATACCATGCGTGTAAAGCATGTCATGTCAGCGTCACAATCAATCCTCTTCATCAACTGTAGGAGCGGCAAAGACCAAATATGGATAACAATCTTAGGATACCGACACTTTGTAACCAGAGTATTGTTGTCCTGGTCATGGTAAACCTGAAGAACCTTCAAAAACAAAAAGCGGATCAACTTTCAAGAAACTAATGATGCTGTGAAAACGAGGGTACAATAAACAAGCTGGAGGCATTTGACGAGTAAATTAATTAAAATAACTAGTTGAATCTCGTTCCTATCTGAAACATTATGTCTTATAAACGCAAGTAGCCTCTTGCGGAGCAAGTAGCCTCCTTGGATCTCGTGTGAATTGTTGACCAAAGTCATTCTCATCTGTCCATGGACAAGACACTTTGCCTCCACAACATCTCTCTCCACCCTGGAGTAAAACGGGATACTGGCAAACTATCCTAAGGACTTGACGAAATGCAGGTGGCGTCGGGTCGGGAAATTATTAGTGATGAACTCACAGTCCATCTGCGAGAAAAACACAGCGGCTTGCCGCATCTCGCCGCGGAAAGTGGTTTGAACTTCGGCTGATGTTTTTCCACCAGATCGGAATTTTTTGCTATTTATTATGACATACCGGCCAGGTTTGTTTCTCAAAATACATGTACTTACAGCATCCTTATTGGCTTGAAGTTGATGATATTTTAGTCCTTGCCAAAACATGTGAAGAAAGAGGACACGCCCATCCTGAAAGAAAATAAAATTCTCACTGAACTTTAGAAGCCGTGTTATGGGTGAAAATTACCGGTCCACTCTTGAGATTATAATTAACTCAACGGTCTCTGCAGTTAGAAGGAAATCGTAGAATATCGTTTTGTGGTAGTGAAACAAATTCTTTTTGAGTCCATGACATTGGTTGGCAAAAGATCACAAGAACGTCTCTCATTAGAATGATCCTAAGATCTGAGAGCGAATCTCCTAACAGGCGAAGGTACATACCCTTATTGGTTATTCCTGAAAATTTAGAGTCTATCCAAGACAAACTATTCAAGAAAATGTAATGTTGTAATGATCTGGTAAATTTACGCGACCTCTCCGCCAAATAGGGCAAAGAGATTTAACATAATGGTCACTCTCAGGTTAGAAATGATAAACTCAAACAGCTTGTGTAGTCTACCAATGTTCATTACTTCCACCCACCCCCTCCGCTCCTCCCCTAAGTGGCAACTCACCTGAGTTCCCGCCATAAGGAAATGCGTTGTATCAGGACATGCATCTCCCTCCAGTGACGTCATTATTATCGGGGAATACAATATTCCAAGACACGTGATCTGGACTTTCTCCTTACGAGTGGATAACATCGATTCCCTTCCGCTGACCTCTAACGGTGGAAAAGAACTCCTACCAGGCGGGGGAGATTCAGGACTGGGGGATCTGACAAGGGGAACGGAATTGGAAACATCTTTCTTCAAGCAAACCGAATGTTTGAAAACTAAAATCAATTATAATCATCAAATTTCTTCGAACGTGATTAGTACATGAACTGCCTCATTTTCCTCGATGATTCTGTAGAGTTGTAACTGTACAGTTGGTCGTAATCGGACACCTGTAATCGGACAGTTACATGGCCAATTACATTGAGTATACTCAAATGAATCCACCAACCATAGAATTTATTACAGTAACCATAGCAAAGGCCTACCATCCCAAGCTGGGAATTTAAAAAAAAAAAAAAGAGACATGCAACCGCGCGATGAATCTATCGCGCGCTCTACGCATATCTAGACTGTCAAATTCTTCATGGTTAGGAGTTTCATCTACATGTGCTATCTACCTGTTTCCTTCATTAGGCCATGGACTGTTGGCTCTGGACCTCTGCAAAGCATCTTGGGAATGTTGATTATGGATGTCTTCAATAAAGTCCAGTTTCCAAGACTCCACTCGTGTCGCTGGATTCGTCCTGAAAAAGAATTCATCAGAAACTTGAAAACCTTCATGCATGGCGCCCAAAGTCGTCACTCATAAAACTGATCGGCTTCTGGAAATGATTATACACGTAATGACTGAGTTGGAAAGCCGGCTTTCCGTCTGGCCTGACAAACTCAGTCAATTAGAATTTTTTGAATTGAGCACCAAGTGTTTCAAACTTTTTCTAACAGCCTAAATAGAGCGCACTGAACAACTACTAAAAATATTCTACAATAAATCTTTTCTTTTTTTTTTTCGATTCAGCACAAGAAACACGTAATCCCTCGAGAAGGCCGACTCATTTTCGCACTCTTCCTAATTTCAGTTGAAGTCCATAGTCAGCTTTCACTATGGCTTTCTAAGGGATTGCGCATTTAGGCCGTACCCTTATATGATACATGTACTTATTGACTAAGTGGCCGTGGTCAGAATGCATGGACCGAGCGCAGCGATCTCCGTGCGTCAAAACCGAAAGCCAAATATTTTCCCGCACCGTCGTACCTACCATGTAACTCAGTCCGTAAGGTTTTTGTCATTTGCCTGTCGCTTTTCCTTTTTCATACTTTCATACTCACGTTTTGTTGGGAAGCACAAAAGATATGAGTAATGAAAAACATCTGATACTTTCCTGGTTCATCCAGATTTGCGCCGAAATAGCACTATGAGCCCAAAAAGAAAATGTGGAAGGAAAACATTTCGTGGTTTTAACGCTGATCCAGACAGGTGTCAACGGATTCTTACCTGGTATAGTAGACCCAGATCTCATGCTCATCAATTAACAAGTACATCATGTTAAATTCCCTGTTGTATGCCACATCTTTGAGCATGTTTAGAGGAGAAATGGATGGCGGCGGGAGGACTGTGGAGAGGTTCTGACGCTTCCGAGAAATCAAACGAACACTACAATACAAGAACCAAAAAAAATGGTGATTTCAGTGCAGAGTAACTCCGCCTACCTTCAAAGCTCACTAGAAACATCATCGAGTGAGTTTTAGTAATAAAAGATACTTAAGGCAGATAAGTTTAATATACTAGAAAAACGATTTCATTTGACACTGCCGTATTTTAGAACCGATTTCGTTGTGAGTAAAAACAACTTAGAAAAAGAAAATTGAAGGAAATTGCTTAAATTTTTCAAAAATTAGTTTTACCAAACTCTATTAGAGTCTGTAGATATTTAGTCTTAAAATCACTTCAGCAAAACCATGGCACCAGCCCCTCTTCCATTACCAGGAATAACTTGATAACATCAATTGCACCATGCCCTCCCCCATTTTGTTTACAACTTTACCTGCTGTCATTTCCAACAGCCATAACACGCGTTGACTTTCCCTTACACGTGACCAGACTGAGTGACGTCACTGAGCAGCGTGATGAGGCCCAGAAATTACACAGATGGTTGAGTGAGAATACTTCGATGAAGCGATTAGAACAGCAGTAAAGAAGCTTTGAAGAGACGATGTTCATCCAGTAAATTCCCTCAGAAAATACAGGAATGCTGAAAAGTTATTGATAAAGCGCGTTAAGTTGGCTTGAGAATCAAGAATCACGGTCAATATTTGGTGCTCCTAAGAATTATAGTTCCCTCGCACGCAAAACTTTCTTTCGTTACTGTAAGACTGGAAAACAGGGCAACTGGTCAAGAACTAGGGAATGGTAAGTCACTTAATTTCACGAGAAATTAAGGCACACAAATTTATCCCAGAAGTAGTGAGCTCGAGTGCATTTGACATAACACGGCGGCGCAAGGTAGTAAGGTGGTAGTATACTTTACTTCTGGACGCTGTTTCTTGAGCGCAACAAATCGTATCATAATTTGACTTTTTCAGCTCCGCTTATGCCATCCTATGGCGAACCACAATAAAATCGTTCGTGTGTTGGGCCGAACGGCTTAAACTGAGCCTGTTCGAAAAAGGCCGTCCATCTCCGTACTCGCTCGGCTCTTTTACTTTTTCCGAGAACGTGAAATTTACCTGCGGACTTCATTTCAGTCGATAAGTACAGAGTATGGACTGTTAGTGCTCTCACCTGTATATCTCCTCCATAAAGTCAAGAGAGTTTACTTTTATGATACCATCCATGGCAGCAGTTATCACCAGCGCCGAATTCTCAGGGTGAAGCAATATCTTTGTTATGGCCTGAATATGGCGGAGGAAAAAAAACATCAGGATCCTTGAAAACCCACATTGTGGTTACTAGTGTCGTTCATGGTGTCTTCAGTACAAAACAGACAGTACAAAGCTGATATCGAATGGAGATAAGCTCACCTTAGAATGGCCTGAGAAAGTGTGTACTTTTCCTCCACTCTTTGCTCTGCTCCAAACATTTACTGAAAATCAATTGATATGAATAAAATGAGAAATACTAAGTTCTATATCTAACAAAAAAAAAAAAACAACAACCACAACCATAACAAGCTTTGACTTGATGAGCACATTTTGGTTTTTTGAGATTCTGTTTTCTTGCTTTCCGCCAGTCATGTGAACTTGTTTGGAGCTTACGTTCTCGCTCTTTGTCATAGGACAGTTTTAGATTAAGTGACAAGGGCACTGCGGGATTGCATCACCTTAGCCATAGACTAAGCTCCTACTGTGTTACGCGTATTGGCGCTGCTTCACGAAAATATCCCGCGCTTCTCGCCAAAATCGCGGGAAGTCTCGAGTTTTGCCACTCGAAGACCGCGTCACATCACGCATCAGCCAGGAATGTAGTAAACTGCGATCTTGCCATTCCATGAATTTTGGTATAAGAAAAGTAGTAAAAACTCATGTGAATAACACGGACGAGGTGTCCACACCCCCCCTCCCCCACCCCTTGCTTGTATGATAGGCCTCAAGAGAACTCACACCAAATAAACCAAATAAATCATAGTGACTTCCTCATTCTCGCTTTCGCGCGCTTTTTGTTGTTGATTTACAACATCTACCTGTGTTCGGGGTGGGTTCTAATTACTTTGGCTTTAGTTTTTCGACACTCAGTCAAAATATGCTCCATAACATTCGCTCACAAAACACCCAGCAGAGTTAAAACCATGAAATCTTACCATCACAATCAGTTCCTACGGTCACCAGAAAGTTACAAGCTTTTGAATAAACACATCCAGTCACTGGACCTCTGTGAGCGCTGCCAGAAAGAAATAGAAAATGACAAACATTAATTTGGCACTTTTTGTTGGCTCATAAAAACAAACCTCCGAGACATTTAGGCCTCGCACAATGTAGTCTCAAGTGTAAATTGAAAAGAAGAAAAAAACCACTGACAGAGGTTCACATGTACATCACTCACTCCAGTATCTGAAATAGAAGATTTCCTTCCATGTCGTAAGCCACTACATTCCGTTCAGACAGACAATAGAGACGCTGTCAAGAAAATATGTGTAGAAAAACAAAAGTAAGGTTGCATTTTGAAGTGGATCAACATTAGCAGATTTGGCGCAGACTTCGAAAATAAGTGGATTTCAGATCGGGAGTCAGTCACAAATTTCAAAGCATGGATCCTCAACAAACTTCAGATTATGGATCCTGGATGTTCCTTCAAGACTGTACAGATTTCATTATATACTTAAATTTGACATTTTCTGCAGGTTTTCAGGACCAGAAGCTACAACATACACTTACCTGCATGGCTTCATCCAGCTCTACTTGTTTTACCCAGCTTCCCCCCATGTCAGGATAAGATGCCCTGTGGTTGTGATCACACACTATGCTAGTATCATTCAAAATGACCTCTAATTTGACACAATAGTACAATGACAACCGTGGAGAACACGCCCCGGATCAGTTAGTTTTGGGTCTTCCAGTGTATTGGGTTTCAGATCGCTCTAATGCTCTGCCAGTTGCGAGTAAGTCAATGCTTTCCCACACACACCACCCATACTGGTTTAGTTCATTGCTCTCTGGTGCCAGCATCTCGTTCTGCTAGTCTGTAAACTGTCTTGCCCAAACACTGTAGTCTGTGTTTGATATTAACAGTGTTTAGTTTACTTCACATGGTATCTATATTTCACCAACCCAAAAATTATCATTTGAATTAACCAAGAAGCAGAGGAGGTCAGCTGGAATTAAACTTTTTTAAATCGCACTTCTCCCTGCCCTAGAACACTTTTGTTCCTCGTTAAGTTCCAAAGTTTTTTTTCCTATTAAGTCCCCATGAAACGAGTTAACCCTATGACCCCTGAGAGTGACTAGCAACTACTATCACCTAACAATATCACCCCTGAGTCCCTCATTAAGCTCATAAGAAGAAAGGAGTTATCTCTATCTAAAGAAGCCCATTGTTATTTTAATGAATTTGTTTAAAAACAAATTAAGTACAGAGAACAGTGTTTGGAGAATGTGCATAGTGATCTTAGGATGTAAAGTAAGGTTAATTAGGACTCTTGATGCCTGGTAAATCACAGAATGTTAGCCAAAATTGGACTAAGGGAAGGGAGATGAGTGAAAATGTAGCCTTTTGAATTCAAACTAATCACTTGAAAACATAAATTTATATTTATTCTTTCTTTTCTTTAAGCAATTTGAGGCTCCACTGGCACTTTCACACTCAGATAAAAGTTTGTACTTGAGTGAAAAGATCAAAATTGTAGTCAGTGAGGATGTTAATCACAAGTGGTCTATATATATTATTAAGTTTTAGATTGGCACTGTTGTTAATTATCATATTACCTCAAAACTAAGCCATAGTTGGCCATGGGTCTTGAATCTCTATCCAAGGCTTTCTGTCTGTTTTTATCTAGTTCACCAAATGTCCAGAACTAAAAAAATACGTAATGGTCTAAATTAAAAGTGTTACCATGAAAGCTTCTAAAATTCACCCTTTGATTCCCAGAGGTGTTAAATACATACATGTTACTTCTTCTGACAGTTATCAAATGAATACAGTATGCAGAAAATAGGTGAGATAATTATAAGCAAAACCATCAACTTAGTTGACAGAGTTCTATCTTGATGTGACAACAATTACATCATCTTTTGAAACCCAATTCACAAGGTATAAGCGAGTGTAAAGCAACTGTAGGGGTTAATAAAATGTTTTGCTGTCTTGTTGCATGTGTGGGACAAAGAATAGAAAACTCCTTGTCCCCCATGAGAAATTGAACCTCATACCATCAGATTTTATACTTTCATGCTTTACAACTGAGCCAGAGAGACTCTAAGCTGAGCTGAGCCATGGCGAGGTTCATATATAACACACATTCCCCATACAGCTAGGATCAGAAATGTTGTAAGTCTTTGTGCCAGTTAAGTATAATAGAGCATGAAGTATGATGAATTGTAAGGTTAAAGAAAAAATGACGTACAAAGATGTTTCTTTGGCTTGTCACTAGTGTGGGGCAACTAATTATAACAGTGCAGAGGGGAAAGGGGAAAATTACCTGTTACTAAAAACTGGATCATTGCCTAATGCAATTTAAGAATTTTTATTGGCTTAGCCTTCATGAGTTATGAGCCATTATACCATGCTCTACAAATAAATTTGGGAAAATTTATCTATATTTTATAAAAGAATAATTCCATTTGCACTTGTTGGATATTAAATGATTATAGCCAACTTGGCCCTATGGGCTATCACTCATCTCACATTCAACATGTGCCTCTGGAATAATTGTTTGGAACATGATACTTAAGCTGAATTATACACGTATTTTGATAGGTTCCCACTTGTGATTTATTGAAAAATAGATGCACAGGTGACATCAGCAATGCCAAAATTTTGTCCTTTTCTATTATAATAAGTATAAAATAAATAGATTCCATGTTGGTCTGTACAGTAATAGATCACAGAAGACATCAAATGCCTTAAGGAAATCAGAGATACAGTTGGCTGTGCCCATGTACAACTTTTTTGTTCTAATTCACTTTTTGACATCATCTACATTTATTTAGATTATCAGATTACCTTCATGCCTCCTGTCCCACCAGTGATAAGTTCATCTTTAACATGATTGAAGACCATACAGAGAACTGAATGCATCTCAGCTGCCACTGAAAATACCTCATGGAAGTTTAGATTAAAAACCTACACAGGGAGGTAAATAACAGAATATAAGACACAACCACAAAGCTATTTACTGCATGACCCCTGTGAAAAAGAGGGTAAGTCAAAGTTGGTCAGACAATGCTACATGAGCAGTACTGCACATCAAACAAATGATTACTGCTCCAGAACAATTAAACACCAGCCTGAGGGTGTAAAGCTGTTTGGGTGAACCAGCTCATCAAAGGTGACTGATGGAAAATGTCTTTACAAAATGATACAACAGATGAACCCAAGTTCTCCCACATTACCAGCAGAAAAATAAAACTAGTACAGTCATTCAAATACAGAGAGAAACTGCACATGACTAGCAAAAAGATAAGGAACCTACTCTCTGGTAATTACTTAAATTCCAGCCAATGACTGTCACTTTATTATCCAGAAAATTTTTCCAGCAGCTGCCCCTTAGTGTAGTACATGCATGTACATGTACATCTACATGACAACCCTGTAACCTCAATCATACAAATATGTGATTTTCAAGCCATCTTTCCTCCTGTCAACTTTAAATTGTAAGTCCTGTATGTACCAACTGGACTGTATGTATGGGGAATATATCTCCTTTCATAAAAATTGTTTAACTTATTTAAGGAGTGTTACTTGCCTTTAATGCATACTCTTTGGATAATGCAAAATAAACATTGAACTTCCTTGAAAATATAATGAGCCTAAGAACATTAAACTGGTAGGAGGGGTAGTTCAAATGTCTTGTGACTGAAAACAAATAAACAATAAATTAACAAATTGTTTGAAAGCAATTCTAATCAGCTCATAATTTGCACAACTAATGGTCCTCTAAAGCTACGAAGTGAAGCCCCTGTTATAAGAATACATTACAAATAAAAGATTTCAAAGAGAATAGCAGGTAATTAAAGAGATCATAATATTTAGTGTCTTATTTTGTAAATTCATAGATCTTTATTATAAGTATATTAACCCACAGAAATTATTTGAGTAGATTGTGTCATCGGAGAAAATATCATGTTCCTTGATCATTACCAGACTGTATAATGTCCTGCACACATCATTTCCACAAAGACCACAATTTGATAAAGAAAAATGGCTTGTTACTGTTATTCTTACATATTGTACCTGTATTATAGACACTTTCATAAGACCAACTTGTGATTCCTCTCGAGTCAAGGAATACAAACTGCCTGAATCGTGAATTGTGTGTCACTGAGGAAAAGAGACAAATTAAAACTAATAAAATCACAAATAAATCATACAACTACTAAGAAGGGTGTCAATCATATGATCACCAACTCCTAACAAGCAGAAGACTAATTTTTTTACGACAGCAATGTCCAGGCATGTGCTGGTTATTTGGATGTCAGATTTATAACTTTATGGGCATATTAACTTTCCAGCATTATCACTTGGATGAAGATAAAAAAGTTGGAATTTCCCTTCTGCCAACACCCTTCCTGTGCACCTTTTCTCCATCCCATTTTGGAATCATCCCTATCTCCTACCTCCGACAATCTCACAGTTTTTTGAGGCATGTTTGTATGACCCTCTACTCTGGAAGCCATACGGGATTTGCAAATAATTGCTTCTTTCACTGATGCTGTATGTTACTTCGCTTTCTGTCTCCTCGCCCTGTGATTCCACTCTGCCTCTTTCAAAGTATTCTACAGTCCCAGCATTTCCAGCATCAGAAACTGCTAGCTCCTCCTCTTTGTTCTCCAGCTTTGTAGATCGATCCATTTTATATTTTAAAAGTTCTGGGACTTTTGCAATTTAATAGCATGTTGTGTTTTCAAAGAGAGGTCCATCACTATGCGAAATGCTATTCTGTCAGTTCACTGAACATCATATAAACATCTTAGACAAGCTGAAATAACTTCACTGCAATATATACAACGCGATATTGTTTTGTAGTGAAATGCCTTCAAAGAAACCCATGCAAAAGCGGAAAGCTTGCTGTCACGATTGAATCAAATTAACAAAAATTCCTCCACATCGGCAAATAAACCTCTCGAATGTTCCTTGATAGTTTTTGGTCGACAAGAAATTCCTTATGGACAACTGTTTACTCCACAGAGCCATTGTAGACTTGTATTCATTGTAGTATGGTAAAAACATTCACATGTCGCCATTGTCAAGAACACATTCTGCAATGCGGTCACAGTGTGATGGAATCCAACCAGCTGCAACTTTCTCGCCAAGCTTTGAAGTTAAAAATATGCAACTACCCACTGATTATCCAAAGTTGTTATCAACTTAACTAAAGTTTGAAAACACTAAGAAAAACTAGTTTCATTAAGTTTGAATAGGACTCGATTATTTCCATATTTTAAACAAATTAGTATTTATCTGTCTTGTTGAGTCTTGTCGCAGGTTGCTAAGATACGAGAAGGAATGGGTACTAGAGATTTGTACGGTGGCTACAGTGGCCCATAGGGGACACGCTATCCACTTTTTAAATTAAATTTTATCGCGCGATATATAATGGTAATATGACGGAGTGGAGTCCAATTCGGTCTGTAATCCTAAGAGTGATTAACAAAATCGGACGTTATCATCGTTACCGGAATGAATTACAATTTGCCTAATTGATGTTTCTGATCAAGATAAAATTATTTATAATCCTCTAAGCTGAATGGCTAAAATTCCTTCTCAATAAAAGAATGAGTGAAAAGATTGTTAAAGAAAAAACAAATTATGTGCAGGTCTGAAAAAAAGAGGTGTCTGCAGAACGAAGTAAACCCATTTAATTTCACCCGCTTGACATGTCGTGGTTGAGTGCACTTCTGATGAACGGTGCACAGTGGTTCAGTTTTCTCCCGTGCAGTAAGTGTTCAGTGAACGCTGTACGAGCTGTAATGGGTCACGTGGTGTAGCGACGTCAGATGAATCTGGTTTCTTACGGCGTACAGTTCGAAAGCTTTTTCCCGGATTTACTCAGAATTTTGATTATAGATGTTTCTACGAAATTAACAAGGAGATTTGTACAAGCAACTCTGAAGAAAAAGAGTTTCTAATAACTCAAAAGACACGTCAGCAGAGACGTCAAGGATTGTTTTGGTGCTCAGACATACTCTATTACTTTTCTTCACGTAAACCTCTTGATCATTGTCTAAATCGAACTGTTCTCCATGCTTGTTATGTACGTACATTTAAGAAATTTGATGACATTATCGGTGGCATATGCCTTTCCTTCAATAGAATATAAGTAAGAACCAATCAGAAAGCTTGTTTCATTTAAGTTATCAATTAATTTCTAATTATTTGATTGTTTCCTATCAGATCTGCCAATCTAGGATTGGTTCAATTTTCGTTACGAAGCATTGTGATTGGTTAAAAACTAACTGCCGCCACTTTCTCAAGCAATCAAAACTTGGCTACTTGCGTTTTACCGCGCTTCTGGCCGTTTGTATTTTTCTTTTCTTTTGAGATCTAATTAGCCGTTCAACAGTGTAATAAGTCTGGTTTTGATTTAAGACATTCAATCGAAAAGCGCTCTAACGAGCTTTTTTTCCCAGTTTTCTTTAGGAATCCTATCACAAGGCCATGCCTAAGCTCTTGACGAGGCTTTTCTTCTAGATAACTTAAACAACTGTGATGAATCCGCTTAGTCCCAAAGACTAACTCGTTAAATTGGAATACTCTTCCTAAAATGTTACATGAAAACAGTTGAATTTCATAGCGTATCTGGGAACGAATGACTTTAATAACTACATTACATTAGATCTTCATGATTAATGAAAAGTATCATCGATACATTTGAGTCGGTAAAAAAACCTCTAGGGAAAAATTTCCATACATCATCTGGCTCTGTACGCCAAAGATTATTATTATTATTATTATTATTATTATTATTATTATTATTTAAATGAAAGCTAACAAAGATTTATTTACCTCACAATTGAAACGATAACAGTAATAACTGCTTTTTTCTTTCAGATATTTCATGAAAGCAAAGGAGTGTCAGGGAGATTTGATGAAGAAGTACTGCGCACCGAGCAAGCCCCACAAGCCTGATCCCTTTAATCCATTCTGTTCCGGTGAAAGGGATCCGTCCCCTCATGCAGGAGCAGGAAAACTGTACGCGGGTGTGGCCCTCGTATTTGTGGGCCTTGCTGGCCATTTTTTGTCGTAAGCCTCTGACTGCGGATGCACATGAGTTTTCCAGTTTACACTATGACACTGTTAATAGAATCATAGAAGACAACTTGAACAAAATAATTTTTCGAAATCTTCAGTTCATGCAGATGTCGAATACATCCGTCCTCACGAAGCTCAGAATTTTACTATTGAATCAGCAATTGGAAGATTTTCCCAGCTGTTATGCGAATGACAAGTGTTAGTTTTCAAAGTTATCATATCCATTTTATTGTTATCATTTATTAGCCTGCCGTGCTTGGAAATTCCTTTGCCTGTTTGCTAGCACTGGAAATGTATACGTACAATAAAGCACTTTGAACACAAATAATATGGCATGTTTGACAAGTGTTGCAGACAGTAGCTAGCCAGCCGACAGACCACAGGGTGGGTAAACTTATTAAGCTCCATTATGTTGTAAAGAGAACTCTATTGTATGTTTAAGAGACAACAACGCGAAAAACTGACTTTAGAAAACCAGCTAAAATAAAAACAAAGCACGTTTGGGCACTTCTAGTTTTTGATTAGCGATTTTTTGGGGAATTTTTTAAAGTTTCCTATTACTCTCTAAGAACTATAAACTTCACGTAGTTCTTGGCTTATTCGTGGAAGGTAATTTTACAATGACCAATGAATTTTCATCTCGTTGAAGAAACTTATATGAAAGACAAAATAGTAGTACCTTGTAGTTCCAGTTCTCCGTAATTTTCTTCTGTAACATCAAGGTTTTGAAACAAAAACTGAAGAAGTCATTGCAGGCACATTTAAAATCTCTCATCTAACAAGTTTTTAAAATGAATTGTATATCTTAATTAATCTTGCAGAGTTTAAAGTGACTATTTTTAAGCAACGAGAGCAACTTGTTTCGAAAGCTACTGACAAGGCGATACTAATTGAGAAAAAAGCAAGCATATTGATTTTCAATTTACTTCGTTTAGCTGCAAGGAAATAATTTCTAATATTACCTAGGACTATCAATTTGTTTAAACATGGGATTCTGATCTCTACATAACTTATCTACTGGAAGAACCCAAAGGCAAAAACTCGACGGCATTCCAAGTTTTCGTTTTCTACAGATTAAGAATACTACCAGGCCCTCTTAGAGAAGTTTATCAACACAAAACTCAAATCGTGAGCCTCAAGTCAATGATGTTGCAACCAACCCCGGCCTGACGTTAACATCGAGCAAAATGGCACCTTGAGGGAAAGTGGTAGTTTTATAGTAACGTTTCACAGATTATTTTTTAAGAGCACATTCTTGGTAGTCAGGCTTGGGTGAAGTATGGACAAAACCGGGTTCATGGCCAATATTGGAAGGTTAGGCGAATATCAGACCTTTTGTTGCCTAATCAGAAATTCACAAGTTTTGCACTGCTCGGGTTCATGGCTTTGCTTTAGTCTTCAACGAAAGACCGTTCAGTCTTCTTTCCAATGTTTCGTGATAAATAACAAAACTTATTTGAAAGATAATCTTTCGGATGAAGCTGCTTGCCTTGAAAAGGTCACTAGGGGTTCAAACCTCAAGGAAATTAGTACACCTTGATGATTTACTAATTCTTTTTACGAGGAAACCTCTATCGTAATAAATAACAAGCACGTTTGAATGTTTCGCCTTTTTCTCTTCTGAAAATTGTACGCTTAAGTAATTTCAATTTGATTGAAATAATATTTCGGCAAAAGAAGTACACTCAACAGAGAAATTCAGAATTTACCCCCTTGACGGGGATCCAAAAAGGTCTTATAATTGAGTATCACCTCAAACGCTCATTAAATAAAGAAAAGCTTCATTGCTCAGAGGTCATTGCATACAGATGACCTGGCAACTCAAGAACTTCAATATCAAAGGATGATTATGACCCTTCTCATGAACACATCAGCAAGGATCTCTGTGGGATGCGAAACTCTACTGATACTCAGCTGATACCCAACTGATATATACCTTAACTTATTTTCTAGTGATTTTCCAAATAGCGGTGGTGTATTATCGATCACATTTTCCGTATCACATAAATTTTCATCCGTGATAGAAATTCCGTAAGTTATTGATTCAAAATCTTGTCACATGCGTAGACGTTTAGAGCTGATCTTTTTTTAATTTATAAACATTTTAGAAATATCAATTAAAATGAGACTTCAAGATGGACACAACATGTAATAGTGAACGTTTTCCCTATATGCACCTTTGGCAAAAAAACCGCAAGTTACCTAAAGGTTTTAAAATCGAATTAAGAACTAATTTTACCTTAACTGCTTAATATGAATTTATTCCATAAATTTTCTTGTGTTTACTGTCGTTTCCTTTTTTATAATTTTGGCATCATATTCGATGAAAACTTTTGCTCAACAATGTAGATTGTCACAACGATCCGAGCATGTCTTGGTTAGACATAATCGCGTTTATAAATCGTTAATTATAGATCGGTTGCAGTTCACAGCTCGTGCGTTAACTTTGGGTTGATGGAAAAAAGTTGTTAGTTCATCAAAGAAACTAAGAATTCCCGCCCAGCCGGTCTGAAGTAGAATGAAAGGTTTATTTATGCCGTCAACACAGATTGTGGAAAGAATGTATTTCAGTTTCCCAAAGAAACGCCTTTACACATTTATAGATCTTCACCTTTCAAACGTGTAAGGTTAGATATTTTAACCGCCCTTTCAACGTAATGAGAGTGTCTGAGCCACCACAAAAATTTGTCAGGAAAAGTATTATGCAATGGAAATTCCATCAAGGCTTTTTATGACATGACAACAGATCGAAGTACCTTAGTATTTTTATTTTCCAAATGTTAATTTTTTTCCTCAGTTATTTATACAACCAAGGTTTTTGTTTTCTTTTTTTTGTAAATTCAAGGGAGGCTGGATTATGATGTTGAACGTTATTTTGGCACGCTCCCTTCTTTATGCTGGAATGGCGCCGCCGAACAAACGTTTGAAGGTATCGGTAAGTATGGTGACGGCAAAATGGCTATAACAAAAAACGCTATGAACCACCTAAGAGTGTACATAAACTTTAACCAAATAAGATCTCACTGTGGCAAAGAAAAAGGAACAACATTCAGCGTCAGAACAACTCCGAACAACAAAGATGCAGAAGAGTTGCGGTATTTCATCGATGAAAGAGATGAAGTGCTAGACTCATGTGACTCCTTGGCCACTGGGTGTGCGATAAATACTAGCAACAACCTGTAAACTAGAGACTTTTGAAAAGTTTATGTCCGTTGAAATACACCCTCTTGCAATAACTTTGTAATAGCAGGGCGTGAAATTAACTTTTTTTTCTGATAGCCACTTGGCTACTAAATTCTTCAAAGTGGTAGCCAATTCAAAAAAAGTTGGTCGCCATTTTCAAAGACAAACAAAATCTTTCTTTACGCTGTCAGCGTTCTAGATAGACCCTCCAAAATTAAGTTAGGGAAAAGATCAGTAACGTGCTACAAAGTGGACACTAGGATGGATGATATAAAACTTTCAGGCTCATCTAAATCCAAGATTGCGTCTAGTTATCGAGATGCATGTGCTACGTTTTGGAAACAAACTTAAAGAGGAAGTTTGCCGCGGATTTATCTTTGCAAATCTTTTTAATTCACTATATCTCTTGGTAAGGTTATGATGAAACGTTCTAGTCACCAATTTGGCGACTAACTTTCAGGATTTGGTCGCCAAAGTGAAAAATTTAGGCGCATTGGCGCCTGTATTAGGCGCAATTTCACGCCCTGAATAGGACTTAGCATTAGCGAAAAAGAGACGAAGTCAATGAAAATTTACCAGCATATAAACTTCCCTCTGGCCATTTACCTTACAGTTAAACGATTTTAAATTTGATAGTTTTTTCACATCTAAGTCAACTAAACACAATCCCCTTGTCTCTGGCTCATATGTGTTTCAGCCACCTTATATGGTCTTGTCATGTGCACCTCCTTTGTATACATGATTTCCCCCACACGGAACCTTTTCTGTGAAGTCTTGAACTATTATTATAACAATTTCGCTCTGCCCATGTCAATGTAAGGTGTTGAGGACGCCAGTTATTTAACTGTAAATAATCTGAAATTTTAATTCTTAACAAGCCTCTGGCTCGGGAGGCTAGGCGTCCACTCTCATGTTTCAGACATTAAATAAAGTTATCCTTATCCATATTTTCACGGAGTTTGCACCGAAAAATTGATTGAAACTTGTTGAGAGTAGCAGGTGTTTTATATTTTAATTTTATGGAAAAGGAATGTAAGTAAATAAACGAAAAAATAAATTAATTGTGGATATGCCATGTTCAAGCAGACGAAGCAGCATTCGAGAGCCTTCTCATGTGGTTATGTTTATCACATCAAGGTAAAAATCCCTGTGGGATATGTTACTCTTACTGTAGTTACGGGCCTCCTTTTCGAAATAACAATTGTGTATTTTAGTTTACTTTCTTAACTGGTTTAAAAACATATACAAACCTGCTAGGTAGTCACTAGATGATGTATTTAAGACTTGATACAAAAGTAAAGCTTTCGAAGCTGAACCTTACGAAATGTCAAAGTTGAAATGAGACCTCAAGATACATACGCTATCTATTCTTAAACTAATATCATTTCTTTTCCTATTTCTTTCTTTTCTTTTCTATTTTTCTATTTCTATTTTTCTTACAAAAGAATGCAAGGTGTCAAAGGGTTGCAGCCACTGTTGATACTCTGTGAGACATGACTGTTTAAAATTGCATGATTTCACGACATTATTTAAGAAAAAAAATGCTAATTTCCCTATAGCCGGTTGGTTTTGAGGTTGCTGGGGCATGTAAACGGTCAGGACTGCAGGTACTGTCGATACTAGATGGATATTTTCTCGTTCTGGTTCATTTTGGCATCATATTCAGCGAAAACATTGGCTCAGCGATGTAAGTTGACGCAACGATCTGAACATGGCTTGGTTCTCCTCAATCAAGTGTACAAATCGTTCACTGTGGATCGGTTGGCTTCGTGCTATATTGCCTGCAATTCACAGCCTGCGTGTCAAAGCCTTAACTTCAGGCTGAGTGACAAAACTTGCCAGTTTAACAAAGAAACTAAGATTTCCCACCCAGCCAGTCTGAAGCAGAATGCAGGGTTTATCTATGCTGAAAACCCAAATCGAGGTGAGAATATCCTTAAACATTTGGGCATGTTTATCAGTCTGTGTCTGTTAAAACGTTTATGGTTACATTTTTTACATGGTTCTGCCTTAGTGTTATCAAGCGAACTTGAGTGAGCCAATAAATTTATTTTTCCTTGTTACTTTGACAACCTGAATAAATTGGAAGACATAATTTCAAGGGACTTGGTAACGTAATGAGTCCACAAGGTCTCAAAAATACGTAATTAATCTTCGTCATTCCGTTGAAAAGTAGACTTCAACCGTAAACTTTGCTATCGTTAAATGGACCCATTTCTAAGAGCCAAACGGCATAAAAACTACCCTATTAGGAACAGCTCTTAGTTATGTTATTATTACAACTTTTCCTGGCCTGCCATCAACCGCAATTCAAATTAAGATGGAAAGCGACCATTACGTTGTAACAAGTGCCTTCATTTAAAATAATGTTAATTGTGCTGTGTACATTCGTTCGATAAGTTGATTAAGCATGCAAAGTAGAATGATTTGTTTGCATATTTTCATTGCAGCTTTACTCGGGTCAGTTCCCTTCAGAGCTGCGAATTCTTGTCAACATATCATTCAGAGTGAAGATTCCACTGGGAATGGAGAGTATTGGGTCGACCCACAGGGCAATGGGAACTCTTTCAAGGCTTTTTGTGACATGACAACTGATGGAGGTACCTTGGTGTTTCTTGTTTTCAATTGTTGATTTTTTTTCTTGGTTATTTTTACAACCAGGAATTTTTTTTTAAATTCAAAGGAGGCTGGATGATGGTATTAAACATTGTTTTAGCAAGCTCTCAATCATTATGGTGGAATGGCGCTGCTGAACAAACGTTTCAAGGTATGCGTAACTATGGAAACGGCAAAATGGCTATAACCAAAAGCGCTATGAGCCAACTAAGAGCGTACATAAACTTTACCCAAATAAGATTTCATTGCAACAAAGAAAAAGGAACAACATTCCACGTCAGCACGACTCTGAACAACAAAGGTGCAGAAGTGGTGCGATATTTCAGCGGTGAAAGAGATGAGATGCCGGACTCGTGTGACTCCTTCGTCCGTATGGATGGTGATAATTCAAGACTGGCTCAGAGTTGTGCGACATGGGCATATGATGGTAAGTGGGGACATGTCAGGCATAGTGTTGGAGAGAATCGTCTGTACAACTACGCAGCATTTGTGGCCCTCAGTTATCATTGGATAATTTCTACTGGTGGCCACTGGATGTGCGATGATAAGACTAGTGACAACCTGTCAACTGGAGACTTTTGGAAAGTTTATGTCCGTTGAAATGCACATTCTTGCGATAACTTTCTGATAGGACAAATCATTAGTGGAAAGAGAGAAATTCAAATGGAAATTAAATAGCATATAAACTGATGTCTAGCCATATGCCTGACATTCGAATGATTTTAAATTTAATAGTTTTTTCATCTCTAAGTAAACCAAAAACACAATCTCCTTGGATCTGACCTACATGTGTTTCAGCCACCTTATATGGTCTTGTCACGTGCAACTCCTTCGTATACTTGACTCCCCTCACATGGAACCTTCGTTTGATTTCCTTGAAGTCTTAACCTATTATATAACAATTTCGCTCTAGCCTGGTCAATGCCAAGTGATGAGGGTGCCATTTATTTAACTGTACATAATCTGGCATTTTTATTCTTAATTTGTAAGTTAGTATAAGTATGGATACTAGCCTTGGACATGGTTAGTGTGATTTTCGTCACTATATACCGCACAGATGAATAGTGCTTTTCACGCGCCTTTATATGCTGGTTCAGAAGTGATTAGCAAGTATTATTGCCTCCGAACAGCCCAACAGACAAAATTGCGCGTCAACAATTTAATCTGTGACTATTATGATATATTGACAGAAACAAACTAATCGTTTTGGTTTCTGTGTAACATATACAAAGTTATTCGATAGAACGATAGATATTTACCACCATTCTCCATCCTTTATCAATGTAAGCATTGTTTGAATTAAGTTCTATAGAGCGTTATTAAAATAAGCCTTTGGCTCGGGTGACTTGGCGTCCACTCTCATGCTTTAGACATTAACTAAAGTTATCCTTATTCATATTTTTACGGAGTTTGTACTGAAAAGTTGATTCAAACTTCTTTAGAATAACAGGTGTTTCGTATTTTAATTTTATGGAAAGAGGAATGTAAATACATAATCGAAAAAAAAAAGAAACTTAATTGCCGATCTGCCATGTACAAGAAGATAAGGTGCCAGTCGAGAACCTTATGATTTGGTGATGTTTATCGCATCAAAGTATAAAATCCCTGTAGGATATGTTACTCTAACTGTGATTGCGTGCCTCCCTCTCCAAATAACAATTGTGCATTTCTGTTTGCTTTCTTTTCTGGTTTAAAAATATATATAAACCTGCTAGATATGTCGTTAACTGATAGATTTGAAGACTTGCTACAAAATATTAAGCATTCGAAGCTGACCCTTACAAAATGTCAAAGTTGAACTGAGACCTCAAGACACATACGCTATCTATTTTTAAAAAGTTTTCATTTTCTTTTTTTTTTTGGTTTTGTGTTACATTGCCTGCAATTCACAGCCTGCGTGCCAAAGCCTTAACTTCAGGCTAAGTGACAAAACTTGACAGTTTAACAAAGAAACTAAAATATTCTTCCCAGCCAGTCTGAAGCAGAATGAAGGGTTCATCTATGCTGATAACCCAGATCGAGGTGAGAATATCTTAAGAACAAATTTTTCCCCTTGTTATTTCGGCAACTGAGGAAATTGGAAGATATTACTTCAAGTGACTTGGTTACGTAATGAGTTCACTCAGTTACAAGGTCCCAAGAAACGCAATAAGTCTGCGTCATTCCGTCAAAGAGTATTAAAAGGACACTAAGAATTCCTGCCCAGCCAGTCTGAAACAAAATACTGGGTTTATCTATGCTGATAACTCAAATCGAGGTGAGAATATCCTTAAAACACTTGGGTTTTTCTATCGGTCTGTGTTTGATAAAAAGCATATGGTTACATTTTTTACATGGTTCTGCCATAGTGTTATCAAGGAAACTTTTGTGAGCTAGCAAACTTTTATTCCTTGTTACTTCGACAACTGAAGAAATTGGAGGATAAAATTTTAGGGGAATTGGTTACGTAAAGAGTGCACTTAGTTCCAAGGTCTCAAGAATACGTAATTAGTCTGTGTCATTCCGTCAAAAAGTAGACTTCCACCGTTATAGTTGCTACAATCTAACTTTCAATCGTGAAATAGACCCATTTCTTATTTTTTTTGTTGAAAATTCTTGTCATATTATAATTCAGAGTGAAGATTCCACTAGGACTAGAGAATACTGGGTCGACCCACAAGGCAATGGGAACTCCTTCAAGGCATTTTGTAACATGACAACTAATGGAGGTACCTCAGTGTTTTTTTTGTTTGTTTTCAAATGCTGGTTTTTCTCTTTGTTGTTTACAAAACAGGTTTTTTTTCCAATCAATAGGAGGCTGGATGATGATGTTGAACGTTATTTTGGTAAGCTCTCAATCTTCACTGTGGATCAGTTGGCTTTGTGTTATATTGCCTGCAATTCACAGCCAGCGTGTCAAAGCCTTAACTTCAGGCTGAGTGACAAAACTTGCCAGTTTAACAAAAAAACTAAGATTTCCTGCCCAGCCAGTCTGAAGCAGAATGCAGGATTTATTTACGCTGATAACCCAAATCGAGGTAAAACAAATCAAAACAAATTTTTTGTCTCTTGTTGGAAGACATAACTTCAAGGGACTTACTTACGTAATGAGTCCACTTAGTTACAAGGCCTCAAGAAACGCAGAGAGTCTGCGTCATTTCGTCAAAGAGCATTAAAAGGAAACTAAGATTTCCTGCCCAGCCAGGTTTATCTATGCGGATAACCCAAATCAAGGTGAGAATATCCTTAAAACACTTGGGTTTTCTTTTATCGGTCTGTGTCTATTAAAAAGCTTATGGTTACATTTTTTACATGGTTCTGCCACACCATTATCAAGGAAACTTTAGTGGGCCAGCAAACCTTTTCCCCTTGATACTTCGGTAATTGAAGAAATTGGAAGACATAATTCCAGGCGACTTGGTTACGTAGTGAGTCCATTTAGTTCTAAGGTCTTAAGAATACGTAATTAGTCCGGGTCATTTCGTCAAAAAGTAGACTTCAACCGTTATAGTTGCTACAATCTAACTTTCAGTCGTAAAATGGACTCATTTATAAGAGCCAAACGGCATAAAAACTAACTTATTAAAAAAACCCTCTAGTTATGGTATTATTAAAACTTTTGCTTGCTTGTCATCAACCGCAAATTAAGATGTAGAGCGATCAATACGTTGTAACAAGTACTTTCATTTATAAATGTTAATTATGTTGTTTACAGTTGTATGACATGTTGATTACTCATGCAAAGTATATGGATTTGTTCGCATATTTTTCGTTGCAGCTCTACTCGGTTCAGTTCCCTTCAGAGCTGCAGAGTCCTGTCAATATATCATTCAGAATGGAGATGAAGAATACTGGGTCGACCTACAAGGCAATTGGAACTCCTTTAAGGCTTTTTGTGACATGACAACCGATGGAGGTACCTCAGTGTGTTTTTGTTTTCTTTTTCGTTTTCAAATGTTTGTTTTTTTCTTTGTTGTTTATTTAACTGGGTTTTTTTTTCAATCAATAGGATGCTGGATAATGGTGTTGAACGTTATTTCGCCAAGCTCTCAATCTTCAAGGTATGCGTAACTATGGAAACGGCAAAATGACTAAAACCAAAAGCGCTATGAACCATCTAAGAGCGTACATAAACTTTACCCAAATAAGATTTCACTGCAGCAAAAAAAAAAAAAAAAAAAAAAAAAAAAAAAAAAAAAAAAAAACAGCATTCCACGTCAGAACGACTCTGAACAACAAAGGTGCAGAAGTGGTGCGATATTTCAGCGGAGAAAAAGATGAGATGCCAGACTCGTGTGACTCCTTTGTCCGTATGGATGGCGATAACTCAAGACTGACTCAGTATTGTGCGACATGGGCATATCATGGTAAGTGGGGACATGTCAGGAATAATGTTGGAGAGAATCGTCTCTAAAACTACGCAGCATTTGTGGGCCGCAAGCATCATAGGATAATTTTTACTGGTGGCCACTGAAAGTGCGATTATGATACTAGCAACAACCTGTCTACTGGAGACTTTTGGAAAGTTTATGTCCGTTGAAGTACACATTCTTGTAATAAAGAGAAAAAGTCAAATGAAAATTCAAATGCATATAAACGACCCTCAGGCTATATGACTGGCATTCGAATGATTTTAAATTTGAAAGTTTTTTGGACATGTAAGTCAACCAAAAACACAATCTCCTTGGATCTGGGGGAGATTCAGGACTGTGGGATCTGACAAGGGGAACGGAATTGGAAACATTTTTCTTCAAGGAAACCGAATGTTTGAAAACTAAAATCAATTATAATCATCAAATTTCTTCGAACGTGATTAGTACATGAACTGCCTCATTTTTCTCGATGATTCTGCAGAGTTGTAACTGGACAGTTGGTCGTACTCGGACACCTGTAATCGGACAGTTACATGGCCAATTACATTAAGTATACTCAAATGAATCCACTAATCATAGAATTTATTACAGTAACCATAGCAAAGGCTTACCATCCCAAGCTGAGAATATTTTAAAAAACAGAGAGATGTAACCGCACTATGAATCTATTGCGCGCCCTACGCATATCTAGACTGTCAAATTCTTCATAGTTAGGAGTTTCATCTACACGTGCTATCTACCTGTTTCCTTCATCAGGCCATGGACTGTTGGCTCTGGACCTCTGCAAAGCATCCTGGGAATGTTGATTATGGATGTCTTCAATAAAGTACAGTTTCCAAGACTCCACTCGTGTCGCTGGATTCGTCCTGAAAAAGAATTCATTAGAGACTTGAAAAAAATCTTCATGCATGGCGCCCAAAGTTGTCTCCCTTAAAACTGATCGGCTTCTGGAAATGATTACATATGTAATGACTGAGTTGGAAGGCCGGTTTCCCGTCTGGCCTGACAAAACTCAGTCAATTAGCATTTTATGATTTAAGCACCAAGTGGTTTCAAACTTTTTCTAACAGCCTAAATAGGACGTACTTGCAGTACTTGAAGAGAGCGTACTGAAAAACTATTAAAAAGATTCTACAGTAAAATCGTTTCTTTTATTTCTTCGATTCAGCGCAAGAACCTTGTAATTCATCGAGAAGGCCGACTCATTTTCGCACTCTTCTTAATTTCAATTGAAGTCCACAATTTATATTCACGTTTTCATAAAACGCAAAAGAGCCGTGTGAGTGTAAGGCCGAACGGCCTTCTACAGACAGGTTCACGTCAATCCATCTAGCCCTACTCACCTCTGCCTTCACTATGGCTTTCTAAGGAACTGCGCACTTAGGCCGTACCGTCATATGATACATGTACTTGTTGACTAAGTGGTCGTAGTCTGAATGCATAGACTGAGGGTAACAAGCTCCGTGCGTCAAAACCGAAAGCCAAATATTTTCCCGTACGGTCCTATCTATCAAGTAACTCAGTCTGTAAGGTTTTTATCATATGACTGTCGCTTTTGCTTTCCACACTTCCATACTCACGTTTTGTTGGGGAAGCACAAAAGATATGAATAATGAAAAACATCTGATAACGAAAGTGTGGAAGGAAAACATTTCCCCTACTATGGTGCAAACTCGTAGTTTTAGCGCTGATCCAGACAGGTGTCAACGGATTCTTACCTGGTATAGTAGACCCAGATCTCTTGCTCATCAATTAACAGGTACATCATGTTAAACTCCCTGTTGTATGCCACATCTTTTAGTATGTTTAGAGGAGAAATGGATGGCGGCGGGAGGACTGTGGAGAGGTTCTGACGCTTCCGAGAAATCAAACGAACACTACAATGCAAGAAACAAAAAAAAATGGTGATTTCAGTGCAGAGTAACTCCTTCCTAACTGCCTTCAAAGCTCACTAGAAACGTCATCGAGTGAATTTTAGTAATAAAAGATACTTAAGGCGGATAAGTTTAACATGCCAGAATGACGATTTAATTTGACACTGCCGTATTTTAGAACCGATTTCATTGTGAGTAAAGACAACTTAGAAAAAGCAAATTGAAGGAGATTGCTTAAATCTTTCCAAAATTAGTTTTACCAAACTCTATTAGAGTCTGTAGATATTAAGTCTTAAAATCACTTCAGCAAAACCATGGCACTAGCCCCTCCCCCATTACCAGGAATAACTTGAGAACATCAATTGCACCATGCCCTCCCCCATTTTGTTTACGACTTTACCTGCTGTCATTTCCAACAGCCATAACACGCGTTGACTTTCCCTTACACGTGACCAGACTGAGTGACGTCACTGAGCAGCGTGATGAGGCCCAGAAATCACATAGATGGTTGAGTGAGAATACTTCGATAAAACGATTAGAAGAAGGGACGATGTTCATCCAGTAAATTCCCTCAGAAAATACAGGAATGCTGAAAAGTTATTGATAAAGCGCGTTAAGTTGGCTTGAGAATCAAGAATCACGAACAAAATTTTGTGCCCTCAAGAATTATAGTTCACTCGCATGCATAACTTTCTTTAGCTACTGTAAGACTGGAAAGCAGGGCAACTGATTAAGAACTAGGGAGTGGTAAGTCACTTGGCCAAATGTACAATTAAATGTCACGAGAAATTAAGGCAGACAAATTTATCCAAGAAGTAGTAAGTGCAGTTGACATAACACGGCGACGCAAGGTGGTAGTATACTTTAATTCTGGACGCTGTTTCTAGAGCGCAACAAATCGTATCATCATTTGACTTTTTCAGCCCCGCTTATGCCATCCTATAGCGAACCACAATAACATCGTTCGTGTGTTGGGCCGAACGGCTTAAACTGAGCCTGCTCGAAAAAGGCCGTCCATCTCCGCACTCGCTGAGCTTATATTCTCGCTCTATGTCATAGGACAGTTTTAGATTAATTGACAAGGGCACTTTGGGATTGCATCACCTTAGCCACAGACTAAGCTCCTGCTGTGTTACGCGTATTAGCGCTGCTTCACGAAAATATCCCACGCTTCTCGCCAAAATCGCGGGAATTGTCTCGCGTTGTGCCACTCGAAGACCGCGTCACATCACGCATTAGCCAGGAGTGTAGTAAACTGCGATTTTGCCATTGCATCAATTTTGGTGAAAGAAAAGTAGTAAAAACTCATATGTATAAAACGGACGAGGGGTCTACAAGGGGGTCTCCAAGTTTTCAGGGCCAAAAGCTACAACATACACTTACCTGCATGGCTTCATCCAGCTCTACTTGTTTTACCCAGCTTCCCCCAATGTCAGGATAAGATGCCCTGTGGTTGTGATCACACACTATGCTAGTATCATTCAAAACGACCTCTAATTTGACACAATAGTACAATGACCACTGTGGGTAATGGGTAATTACCGTAGAGAACACGCCTCTGATCAGTTAGATTTGGGTCTTCCAGTATATTGGGTTTCAGATTGCTCTAATGCTCTCCCAGCTGCGAGTTAGTCGCTTCCTCTAGTGCCAGCATCTCGTTCTGCTAGTCAGTAAACTGTCCTGCCCAAACATTGTAGTCTCTGTTTGATATTAACAGTGATTAGTTTACTTCTCATGGTATCTATATTTCACCAACCCAAAAATTATCATTTGAATTAACCAAGAAGCAGAGGAGGTCAGCTGGAATTAAACTTTTTTTAACTCACACTTCTCCCTGCCCTAGAACATTTTTGTTCCTAATTAAGTTCCACATTTTTTTTCCTATTAAGTCCCCATGAAACGAGATAACCCTGTGAACCCTGAGAGTGACTAGCAACTACTATCTCCTAACAATGTCACCCTGAGTCCCTCATTAAGGTCATGAGAAGAAAGGAGTTATCTCTATCTAAAGAAGTCCATCATTATTTTAATGAATTTGTTTAAAAACAAATTAAGTGCAGAGAACAGTGTTTGGAGAATGTGAATAGTGATCTTAGGATGTAAAGTAGGGTTTAAATTAGGACTCTTGATGCCTGGTACATCACAAAATGGTAGCCAAAATTGAACTAAGGGAAGAGAGATGGATGAAAATGTAGCCTTTTGAATTTGAACTAATCACTTGAAAACATAAATTTCTATTTGTTGTTTCTTTTCTTTAAGCAATTTGAGGCTCCACTGGCACTTTCACACTCAGATAAAAGTTTGTACTTGAGTGAAAAGATCAAAATTGTAGTCAGTGAGGATGTTCATCACAAGTGGTCTATATATGTTATGAAGTTTCAAATTGGCACTGTTGTTAATTATCATATTACCTCAAAACCAAACCATAGTTGGCCATGGGTCTTGAATCTCTATCCAAGGCTTTTTGTCTGTCTTTATCTAGTTCACCAAATGTCCAGAACTAAAAAAAAACATAATAGTCTAAATTGAAAGTGTTACCTTGAAAGCTTCTAAAATTCACCCTTTGATTCCCAGAGGTGTTAAATACTTACATGTTACTTCTTCTGACAGTTATCAATACAGTATGCAGAAAATAGGTGAGATAATTATAAGCAAAACCATCAACTACAGAGTTCTATCTTGATGTGACAACAAATCATCTTTTGTTACCCAATTCACAAGGTATAAGTGAGTGTCAAGCAACTGTAGGGGCTAATAAAATGTTTTGCTGTCTTGTTGCATGTGCAGGACAAAGAATAGAAAACTCCTAGTCCCCATGAGAAATTGATCCTCATTCCTTCAGATTTTATACTTTCATGCCTTACAACTGAGCCAGAGAGACTCTAAGCTGAGCTGAGCCATGGCTAGGTTCATATATAACACACATTCCCCATACAGCTAGGATCAGAAATGTTGTAAGTCTTTGTGCCAATTAAGTATAATAGGGCATGAAGTATGATGAATTGGTAGGTTAAAGAAAAAATGACATACAAAGATGTTTCTTTGGCTTGTCACTAGTGTGGGACAAATAATTATAACAGTGCAGAAGGGGAAAATTACCTGTTACTAAAAACTGGATCATTGCCTGATGCAATTCAAGAATTTTTATTGGCTTAGCCTTCACGAGTTATGAGCCATTATACCATGCTCTACAAATAAATTTGGGAAAATTTATCTATATTTTATAAAAGAATTATTCCATTTGCACTTGTTGGATATTAAATGATTATTAAGCTTACTTGGCCCTATGGGCCTTGTTGGCTATCACTCATCTCACATTCAACATGTGCCTCTGGAATAATTGTTTGTTACATGATACTTAAGCTGAATTATACACGTATTTTTATAGGTTCCCACTTGTGATTTATTGAAAAATAGATGCACAGGTGACATCAGCAATGCCAAAATGTTGTCCTTTTCTATTATAATAAGTATAAAATAAGTAGATTCCATGTTGGCCTGTACAGTAATAGATCACAGAAGACATCAAATATCTTAAGGAAATCAGTAATACAGTTGGCTGTGCCCATGTACAACTTTTTTGTTCTTATTCACTTTTTGACATCATCTACATTTATTTAGATTATCAGATTACCTTCATGCCTCCTGTCCCACCAGTGATAAGTTCATCTTTAACATGATTGAAGACCATACACAGAACTGAATGCATCTCAGCTGCCACTGAAAATACCTCATGGAAGTTTAGATTAAAAACCTACACAGGGAGGTAAATAACAGAACATAAGACACAACCACAAAGCCACTTACTGCATGACCCCTGTGAAAAAGAGGGTAAGTCAAAGTCAGTCAGACAAATTGCTACACAAGCAGTACTGCACATCAAACAAATGATTACTGCTCCAGAACATAAACACCAGCCTGAGGATGTAAAGCTGTTTGGGTGAAGTAGTTCATCAAAGGCAACTGAAGGAAAATGTCTTTACAAAATGATACTACAGATGAACCCAAGTTCTCCTACATTGCCAGCAGAAAAATAAAACTGGTACAGTCATTCAAATACAGAGAGAAACTGTACATGACTACTAAAAAGATAAGGAACCTACTCTCTGGTAATTACTTAAATTCCAGCCAATGACTATCACTATTTTATCCAGAAAATTTTTCCAGCAGCTGCACCTTAGTGTAGTACATCTACATCTACATGACAACCCTGTAACCTCAATCATACAAATATGTGATTTTCAAATCATCTTTCCTTCAGTCAACTTTAAATTGTAAGTCCTGCATGTACCAATTGGACCATACTATGGGGACCATATCTCCTTAATACAAATTGTTTTACTTAATATTTAAGGAGCGTTACTTGCCTTTAATGCATACTCTTTGGATAATGCAAAATAAACATTGAACTTCCTTGAGAATATAATGAGCCTAAGAACATTAAACTGGTAGGAGGGGTAGTTCAAATGTCTTGTGGCTGAAAACAAATAAACAATAAATTAACAAATTGTTTGAAAGCAATTCTAATCAGCTCATAATTTGCACAACTAATGGTCCTCTAAAGCTACGAAAAGAGCCCGTGTTATAAGAATACATTACAAATAAAAGATTTCAAAGAGAATAGCAGGTAATTAAAGAGATCATAATATTTAGTGTCATATTTTGTAAATTCATAGATCTTTATTATAAGTATATTAACCCACAGAAATTATTTGAGCAGATTGTGTCATCAGAGAAAATATCATGTTCCTTGATCATTACCTGCTGTATAATGTCCTGCACACATCATTTCCACAAAGACCACAATTTGATAAAGAAAATTTGCTTGTTACTTGTTACTCCTCTTTGTTCTCCAGCTTTGTAGATCGATCCATTTTATATTTTAAAAGTTCTGGGACTTTTGCAATTTAATAGCACGTTGTGTTTTCAAAGAGAGGTCCTTCACTATGCGAAATGCTATCACGCGATAAACGATAAACTATCGCACTATAAATGAAAAATTATCGCGCGGTAAATGAAAAATTATCGCGCGGTAAATGATAAATTTTTGGGCGATAAATGGGAACTTGTTAGGTAGCAGGTGATTGACTGTCACGCACGTTGTTTCCGTGGACGAGAGGACAATGGCTGCAACAGTTGGAAAGTTCTTTCTTAACGGGTTGGCGATGCAGAAGTGACATAATGTAATCAGAAAGATTCGATAATCCACTCTTGTTCTCAGACACTGACAGCCATCGCAAAATCAAAGTTTAATGTTCTGAGTCACAGAGCTACGTGTCGCAGAAGTATTGTAAAGTACCGCTAAATGGTTTTTTAACGAAAATATAACGAACTATTGACCTCATAACATACCTCAACTATAGCAGCCATCGTCGTCCGCGGAAACAACATGCGTGACAGCCGATCACGTGCTACATAACAAGCCGTGGAGGCCTGTTTTCTAATCTGGAAGGCCCAGTAGTTATTACTTTACTTACTTCACCAGGGTTCAGCGCCCAGTTATTCAAAGGCCGATTAGCGCTGACCCGGGGTTAAGTTTTAATCTGGGTTACTTTATTCCCTTCTTAAAAGACCTATTTCAGATAATTTCTTCAATTCTTTTTTAGAACATCCAGGCATCAAATTGTAGGCAAAAATAAATATACTGAATATGCCTTTAAAGGTTTTAGATCTGAGGTCAGATTTAACGCTAACCCTAGGTTATCTTAACCTAGCTTTGAACAACTTGGTAAAGGGCAGATAACATTATCCAACGGAAAAATCACTATCCGGCGGAAAAGAGACAGCAAAACGTGTAGCGTTATCCACCGGATTGAGTTTTATCCAGTGTATAACACTATCCAACCTTCGAACAACCGGGGCCAGGTGTTCATGGTTTTGTTTACAGAGAGACATCCGTCAACAAAAATTAGAATTTATAATCTTAAAGAGATCATGAGCAAATAAGGTAATCCCTGTGGAGAGTGCAGCGAAAGGGATAAAACTCTACAGTCTTCTTTCAGTCTGATTGGTTCCCGCAATACAATAACCCCACAGGGTATATTTTTAGGTCGTTGTTGAACTTTGCAACTAACATCAGCAAACACTTTTTGACTACAAATCTTTGCTTTTTTACGTTTAACCTCAAATGGTTCCAGAAATGAACAAAGGGATTTTCGCTCTGGTATCACTGGCGTGCATCTTGCTCGCAGGTAATTCTTTTTCATTTTCGTGACCTGTCTGTTTAATATGATTCTGTAATTTTTTTTTTTTAAATGTTGAATTAGTAATCAGCAAGAACCGTTGGACATGAAAAAGGGATGTTTTTAGTTTGTATAAGACTATTTCATGAGGAAAAGTTTCTCTATGGATGAGCAATTTCTTTCCGGGTCATCCACAGTGCAATCTAGATTTTCAGACGGTAATAAAATTTATCTCTACGCTAATGCTTCGCCGAAACATCTTTACCGGCTTATTTCAGAGACAAACTCTACTTGACTCACGAGTGAGATGTCTTGTGTGAGTATGTGCATCCAAATAATTTTTTAAATGAAATCACGCTCAATCTTATCTTACATAAGCAGAAAAAAATTGTTACAAAACGTGTTTATCGCGATTCGTTTTGATCAGTTGTTTCGATCAGTTGATGATCAAGAAAACAAAAGTAACAGATAAGAGTTTGTTTCAAAATAAAATTGGAGGCATTTCTAGTGACAAATTTAAAATGATGTATTTCCGAAAATCACATCTGCTTCCCCAGAAAATTTGTATCGCTTAATATTGCACGCAAACATTGCGGATAACTGTCCAGGTGAAAACTACAAAATTCGCTGCAGTAACCTGATTTTCACACGTTTTACCTTATCTTGTATGCTTTTTTCGATAATATTTTTGGTCAAGTTTCCCAGGTATAATCCAAAAACACTGGAAAAAAAATTGGATATATGTGACCTTCTTAACTTGTTTGTCGTAATTATACATATCTTCGTTAGCGAATCAATTTTGTCGGGTTTTCATAACACTTCTGTTAAAACGCTCTTACATGTTTGCTTAGTAGAAGAAATCTTAGCAGAAGATCGACAGATAATGGACTCTTAACTCGAGATCTTAATTCAAGGCGCTGTAAAAAAGAGAAGAAAAAAATCACCTCATTATATTGGTCTGAAATGATACGTAATTAACTTCAGGCTGCATTGTGAGTAGTTCCTCTCATTCGCCGCCATCTTCAACATTTTTTTAATGGGGTGCATGTTAAATTCATCCACCCTGGTAAAACAATCAGAGTTATTTTTGCATAAACTTGTACAAAATGAAAATAGCTGAGTCAGTTTTGGCTGACGGTCGGTTTGTACAGAAGAAACTCAAAAGAATTACATAAGGCGGTACACAAAAGGTTTCTGCAAATTTAACCTTTCTTATGCAAATATAGACCAGAAGCGGAAAAAAACAAACAAACGCAACGCTAGATTTGGCATAAAGCTGAGAACAGTTGGCTTTTTTGTGCTGATTGAATTTAGTCAATAAACTATGATAGGAAGTTCCGAGATGAAAATCGAAAGGCTTCTTTTTGTGATGAAATGTCCTTTCTTGAACAGACTTGCTGGAAATTATAATTGATTCAAGTACTGTAAATAACATACGCATGTAATAATATTCGAAATGATTCTGTGAAAGTACTTGATAATGACAGTTTTACATGAGAAAGAAAAGTTCAGGTGACAAGCTCCATAACAATTTCACCTGTCAATCAGGCTTTCTAAGCGAATATACAAAGACAATGACTTTAAAAATGAAATCATTAATGAACATTACGAAAATAGTGCTCGTAAAATTAAGGAAAAATTTAATTTCAAAAGAGAGGACCAAAATATTTTTTCCGGGGATGACTACTTGGAAAAATTATTTCTTTGAGTTCTGTCTCTTAACGATTATCGTTACTGGAATGAATTATAATTTGCCTAATTGATGTTCTAATCAAGATAAAATTATTTATAATCCTCTGTGCTGAATAGCTAGAAATTCCTTCTCAATAAAAGAATGGGTGAAAATATTGTTAAAGAAAAAACAAATTATGTGCAGGTCTGAAAAAAAAAGAGGTGTCTGCAGAACGAAGTAAACCCATTCAATTTCACCTGCTTGACATGTCGTGGTTAAGTGCACTTCTAATGAACGGTGCACAGTGGTTCAGTTTTCTCTCGTGCAGTAAGTGTTCAGTGAACGCTGCACGAGCTGTAATTGGTCACGTGGTGTAGCTGACGTCAGATGAATCTGGTTTTTTACGGCGTACAGCTCGCAAGCTTTTTTTCGGATTTACTCAGAATTTTGTTGATAGATGTTTCTACGAAATTAACTTGGAGATTTGTACAAGCAACTTTGGAGAAAACGAGTTTCTAACAACTCAAAAGACACGTCAACAGAGACGTTGAGGATTGTTTTGGCGCTTAGACATAATCTGTCACCTTTCTTCTATTAAACCTCTTGATCATTGTCTAAATCGGACAGTTCTCCATGCTTGTTATGTACGTACATTTAAGAAATTTGACGACATAATCAGTGGCATATCCCTTTCCTTCAATAGAATATAAGTAAGAACCAATCAGAAAGCTTGTTTCATTCAAGTTATCAATTAATTCCTAATTATTTGATTGTTTCCTATCAGATCTGCCAAAATCCGCTGGTGATAATCACGTCATCGTGAGTAAATGCAGTGAAGATATGAAAATGGAAAAAGACATGATGTGCGCGCACACGTTTCTCAGGAAAATGAAAAATGGCACCGCAAACTGCAGGTTACTTATTTCAGAATTTGATGCTCATTGGCTATTAGATTTTAATTTTTTTTATGGCTTCGTAAAAACTACCTCTACCTCGAACTAAACTTCAAAATATTAGGTTGCTAAGGATCCAGGTATCATTTATTGCCGGAGTGTGAGGGGGAAGTCGGAAGGTTTTGGGGAAATCACGTGGTTTGCAGGGCAAAGGAAGACTATAGAAATTGACCACCAAGTGACTGCCAATGAGGGAGAGATCGTGAGAATGCTACAGAGCCTTACAGGGGGATCCGGTCCCTCGGAAGCTGTTAGAGGACACAATACAAAAGAGGCAACAACAAAGCATTTGGAGAAAAAGGGGCTTGATATAGAGAAATCGCGAACGAGAGGAATCGAGGGAAAATATTCTTTAATGAATAAACCATCACTTGAAAATAAAATTTCTGCCATTTTCGATTCTTTGACTAAAACATTTTTTTTTCACTTTTTCAGTCATGAATTAATGAATTTCATGGGCTGCATTAGGAACTTTACACTCGACCAGTGCTATGGTGATTACCTGAAAACTCATCACAGCATGATGGAACCAATGAGACGAATGGCCGACATGAAAGCCAGAATTCACAATTTTGGCCGCTTGATGTGTGGTATGGACGGAAATGGTTATAATGTCACAGGGCTACCTAAGAACATTACTGACCTGCTGAAATGCAAGAAAGAGTTTTACGACAATGGAAAAGACTGTGCTAAACCGTTCCACGACAAATTCAAGGCCAAGGCTAAACCAGAGGACTTGTGCAAGTAAGATACCAAAACTCAAATGAGGGTTAAAGTAATCTGGGATTGGTTCAATTTTCGTTATTAAGCATTGTGATTGGTTAAAAACTAACTCCCGCCACTTTCACAACCAATCAAAACTTGGTTACTTGCGTTTTACCGCGCTTCTGGCCGTTTGTATTTTTCTTTTCTTTTGAGATCTAATTAGCTGTTGTAATAAGTTTGGTTTTGATTTAAGACATTCAATCGAAAAGCGCTTTAACGAGCTTTTTTTCCGACTTTTCTTTAGGAATCCTATCACAAGGCCATGCCTAAGCTCTTGACGAGGCTTTTCTTCTAGATATCTTAAACAACCGTGATGAATCCGCTCAGACCCAAGGCTAACTCGTTAAATTGGAATACTCTTCCTAAAATGTTACATGAAAACAGTTGAATTCCATAGCGTATCTGGGAACGAATGACTTTAATAACTATATTACATTAGATCCTCATGATTAATGAAAAGCATCATCGATACATTTGAGTCGGGAAAAGAAACCTCTAGGGAAAAATTTCCATAGATCATCTGGCTCTGTACGCCAAAGATTATTTTATTTTTTTTTTTTTTAATGAAAGCTAACAAAGATTTATTTACCTCACAATTGAAACGAGAACAGTAATAACTGCTTTTTTCTTTCAGATATTTCATGAAAGCAAAGGAGTGTCAGGTAGATTTGATGAAGAAGTACTGCGCACCGAGCAAGCCCCAGAAGCCTGATCCCTTTAATCCATTCTGTCCCGGTGAAAAAGATCCGTCCTCTCATGCAGGAGCAGGAAAACTGAACACGGGTGTGGCCCTCTTATTTGTGGGCCTTGCTCTTCATTTTTTGTCGTAAGCCTCTGACTGCGGATGCACATGAGTTTTCCAGTTTACACTATGACACAGTTAGAAGAATCATAGCAGACAGCTTGAACAAAAGAATTTTGCCAAATCTTTAGTTCATGCAGATGTCGAATGCATCCGTCCTTAGTTAGTTTTCAAAGTTATCATATCCATTTTATTGTTATCATTTATTAGCCTGCCGTGCTTGGAAATTCCTTTACCTGTTTGCTAGCACTGGAAATGTATACGTACAATAAAGCACTCTGAACACAAATAATATGGCGTGTTTGATTAGTGTTGCAGACAGTAGCCAGCCATCCGACAGATCACAGGGTGGGTAAACTTATTAAGCTCCATTATGTTGTAAAGAGAACTCTTTTGTCGGTTTAAGAGACAATGACGCGAAAAACTGATTTTAGAAAACGAGCTAAAATAAAAACCAAGCACGTTTGGGCACTTCTAGTTATTGATTAGTGATTTTTTAGGGAATTTTTGCTAAGCAACAGCGAAAATGAGAAAAAATCAAAGGAGAATTTATCAGCATATAAACTGCCCTCTGGCCATATGCCTGACCGTCAAACGATTTTAAATTTGATAGTTTTTTTCACAGTTAAGTCAGCTGAACATAATCTCCTTGGATCTGGCTCATATGTGCTTCAGCCACCTTATATGGTCTTGTCACATGCACCTCCCTTGTATACATGATTTCCCATACATGGAACCTTTTCCGTGAAGTCTTAAACTATTATTATTTAACAATCACGTCAATGTAAGGCGTTGAGGGCGCCAGTTATTTAACTGTTTATAATCTGACATTTTAATTCTTAATTTTTAAGTTAGTATAAGCATGGATATTAGTCATAGGGTGATTTCTATTGCTATAAACCGCACAGGTAAATAGTGCTCGCCACGTACCCTTATGTTCTGGTTCAGAAGTGATCAGCAAGTACTACTACCTTCGAGGAGCCGAAGAGACAAAATCGCGCGTCAACAATTTAATTTTTGACTATTTCTTGGCCATGGTATAATGACAGAAATAAAGCACTCTTTTTTCGGTTGCTGTGTAGTATATTAAAACAGGAATTCACCTTAGTGTCAGTAAAAGTGTTAGGTATTTACTTCCACTTCGGTGAATATTTGTTAATTATAGCTTATATGTTCTCTATCGTTTGTCAATGTACATATTGTTTCAATGTAGGTTTTGTCGAGCGTTTAATAACAAGCCTCTGGCTCGGAAGACTAGGCGTCCACTCTCATGTTTCAGACATTAAAAAAAGTTATCCTTATCCATATTTTCACGGAGTTTGCACCGAAAAATTGATTGAAACTTGTTGAGAGTAGCAGGTGTTTTATATTTTAATTTTATGGAAAAGGAATGTAAGTAAATAAACGAAAAAAAAATTAATTGTGGATATGCCATGTTCAAGCAGACGAAGCGCCATTCGAAGGCCTTCTCATGTGGTTATGTCTATCACATCAAGGTAAAAATCCCTGTGGGATATGTTACTCTAACTGTAGTTACGGGCCTCCTTTTCGAAATAACAATTGTGTATTTTAGTTTGCTTTCTTTTCTGGTTCAAAAACATATTCAAACCTGCTAGATAGTCGTTAGATGATAGATTTGGAGACTTGCTACAAAAGTTGAGCTTTCGAAGCTGACCCTTACGAAATGTCAAAGTTGAAATGAGACCTCAAGATACCTACGCTATCTGGGCTTAAACTAATATCATTTATTTTCCTATTTCTTTCTTTTCTTTTCTATTTTCTATTTCTATTTTTCTTACAAAAGAATGCAAGGTGTCAAAGGGCTGCGGTTAAGGTTATTACTTTGTGATGCATGACTGTTTAAAATTGCATGATTTCACGACATTATTTAAGAAAAAAAATGCTAATTTCCTTATAGCCGGTTGGTTTTGAGGTCTCTGGGGCACATACACGGTCTGGACTGCAGGTACTGACGATACTAGATGGATGTCTTCTCGTTCTGGTTCATTTTGGCATTATATTCCGTGAAAACATTTGCTCAGCGATGTAAGTTGACGCAACGATCTGAAAATGGCTTGGTTCTTCTTGATAACGTGTACAAATCATTCTCTGTGGATCGGTTGGTTTCGTGTTATATTGCCTGCAATTCACAGCCTGCGTGCCAAAGTCTTAACTTCAGGCTGAGTGACAAAACTTGCCAGTTTAATAAAGAAACTAAGTTTTCCTGCCCAACTAGTCTGAAGCAGAATGAAGGGTTTATTTATGCTGATAACCCAAATCGAGGTGAGAATATCCTTAAAACACTTGGGCTTTTTTATCAGTTTGCGACTGTTAAAAAGTTTATGGTTACATTTTTTATATGGTTCTTCCTTACTGTTTTCAAGCAAACTTGTGTGAGCCAACAAATTTATTTTTCCTTGTTACTTCGACAACTGAAGAAATTGGAAGACATAATTTCAAGGGATTTGGTAACGTAATAAATCCACTCAGTCACAAGGTCTCAAGAATACGTAATTAATCTGCGTCATTCCGTCGAAAAGTAAACTTCAACCGTAAAATTTGCTAGAATCTAACCTTCTATCGTCAAATGGACCCATTTCTAAGAGCCGAACGGCGTAAAAACTGCCTTATTAGGATGGTATTATTAAAACTTTTGTTGGCCTATCATCAACCGCAACTTAAGACGTAAAGTGATCAATACGTTGTAACAAGTACCTTCATTTAAAAAAATGTTAATTGTGCTGTGTACAGTCGTATGATAAGTTGATTACGCATGCAAAGTATAATGATTTGTTTGCATATTTTCATGACAGCTTTACTCGAGTCAGTTCCCTTCAGAGCTGCGAATTCTTGTCAACATATCATTCAGAGTGGAGATTCCACTGGGACTGGAGAGTATTGGGTCGACCCGCAGGGCAATGGGAACTCTTTCAAGGCTTTTTGTGACATGACAACTGATGGAGGTACCTTGGTGTTTTTTGTTTTCAATTGTTGATTTTATTTTCTCGGTTATTTTTACAAAAGAAGTTTTTTTAATTCAAAGGAGGCTGGATGATGGTGTTAAACATTATTTTAGCAAGCTCTCAATCGTCATGGTGGAATGGCGCCGCTGAACAAACGTTTCAAGGTATGCGTAACTATGGAAACGGCAAAATGGCTATAACCAAAAGCGCCATGAAACAACTAAGAGCGTACATAAACTTTACCCAGATAAGATTTCATTGCAGCAAAGAAAAAGGAACAACATTCCACGTCAGAACGACTCTGAACAACAAAGGTGCAAAAGTGGTGCGATATTTCAGCGGTGAAAGAGATGAGATGCCGGACTCGTGTGACTCCTTCGTCCGTATGGATGGTGACAACTCAAGACTGACTCAGAATTGTGCGACATGGGCATATCATGGTAAGTGGGGACATGTCAGGCATAATGTTGGAGAGAATCGTCTGTACAACTACGCAGCATTTGTGGCCCACAGTTATCACTGGATAATTTCTACTGGTGGCCACTGGATGTGCGATGATAATACTAGCAACAACCTGTCTACTGGAGACTTTTGGAAAGTTTATGTCCGTTGAAATGCACATTCTTGCAATAACTTTGTAATAGGACGAAGCATAAGTGAACAGAGAGAAAGTCAAATGGAAATCAAATAGTATACAAACTGATGTCTAGCCATATGCCTGACATTCGAATGATTTTAAATTTAATAGTTTTTTTCACATCTAAGTCAACCGAAAACACATACTCCTTGGATCTGACCTACACGTGTTTCAGCCACCTTATATGGTCTTGTCACGTGCAACTCCTTCGTATACTTGACTCCTCTCACATGGAACCTTCGTTTGATTTCCATGAAGTCTTGAACTATTATTTAACAAATTTCGCTCTAGCCTTGTTAATGCCAAGTATTGAGGGTACCAGTTTTTTAGCTGTACATAATATGACATTTTTATTCTTAATTTGTAAGTTAGTATAAGTTTGGATACTAGCCTTGGACATATTTAGAGTGATTTTCATTACTATATACCGCAAGGGTGAATAATGCTTTCCGCGCACCCTTATCTCTTGGTTCAGAGGTGATTAGCAAGTACTATTACCTCCGAGCAGCCAAAGAGACAAAATCGCGCGTCAACAATTTAATTTCTGATTATTATTTGATATTGACAGAAACAAACCAATCGTTTTGGTTACTGTGTAGTATATCCAAAACAGTTATTCACCTCAGTGAAAGCGATAGATATCTACCTCCACTTCGGTGAACAATTGTTAATTATAGCTTATATTCTCAATCCTTCGTCACTGTACACATTGTTTAAATTAAGTTTTATCGAGCGTTTTTAAAACAAGCTTTTGGCTCGGGTAATTAGGCGTCCACTGTCATGTTTAAAACATTAAATAAAGTTATCCTTATTCGTATTTTCACGGAGTTTCAACTGAAAAATTGATTTAAACTTTTTGAGAATAGCAAATATTTCATATCTTAACAATTACGGAAAGGGGAATGTAAGTACATAATCGAAAAAAAAGAACTTAATTGTCGATATGCCCTGTAAAAACAGATAAGGTGCCATTCGAGAGCCTTCTCATCTGGTGATGTTTATCACATCAAAGGAGAAAAATCCCTGTGGGATATGTTACTCTAACTGTGATTGCTTGCCTCCCTTTCCAAATAACCAATGTATTTTTCTGTTTGCTTTCTTTTCTGGTCTAAAAACATATAAACCTGCTAGATAGTCGCTAATTGATAGATTTGTAGACTTGCTACAAAATATTAAGAATTCGAAACTGACCACTACGAAATGTCAAAGTTGAACTGAGACCTCAAGATACATACGCTATCTATTTTAAAAGGTTTCCATTTTCTTTTCCTTTTTTTTCTATTTTGGATTTCGGGTCACAAAAGAATGCAATGCTTCAAAGGTTCTTACGGTCAATATTAGTACTATGTGTTGTATGGCTATTTAAAATCGAATGATTGCACGACATTTTCGAAGAAAAAAAATGCTAACTTCCCTATAGCCGGTTGGTTTTGAGGCCTTTGGAGCACGCACAGGGAACAGGACTGCAGGCACTGACGATACCAGATGGATGTTGTCTCGATCTGGTTCATTTCGGCATTATATTCGGTGAAAACATATGCTCAGCGATATAAGTTGACGCAATGATCTGGACTTGGATTGGTTCTCCCAGATGACGTGTACAAATCGTTCAATGTGGTTCGGTTGGTTTCGTGTTGTATTGCCTGCAATTCACAGCCTGCGTGTCAAAGCCTTAACTTCAGGCTGAGTAACAAAACTTGCCAGTTTAAGAAAGAAACTAAAATGTCCATCCCAACCAGTCTAAAGGGTTTATTTATGCTGATAACCCATATCGAGATGAGAATATCCTCAAAACACTTGGGCATGCTTATCAGTCTGTGTCTGCTAAAACTTTGTGATTACATAGTTCTGCCATAATGTTATCATGCAAACTTGTGTGGGCCAACAAATTTTTTTCCTTGGTACTTCGACAACTGAAGAAATTGAAAGACATTATTTCAAGGGAATTTGGTTTCGTAATGAGTTCACTTAGTAACAAGGTCTTAAGAATACGTAATTAGTCTACGTCATTCCGTCAAACAGTAGATTTCGACCGTTAAATTTGCTAGAATCTAACCTTCTACCATCAAATTGACCCATTTCCTAAAGCCAAGTGGCATAAAAACTGTCCTATTAAGAACACCCTTTAGTTATGGAATTATAACTTTTGCTTGCTTGTCATCAACCGCGAATTACGATGTACAAGTACCTTCATTTAACAACGTTTATTGTGCTCTCTATAGTCGTATGATATGTTGATTACGCATTCAAAGTATGATGATTTGTCTGCATATTTTTTGTTGCAGCTTTACTCGGATCAGTTCCCTCCAGAGCTGCAGAGTCCTGTCAACATGTTATTCAGAATGGAGATTCCACTGGGAAAGGAGAACGTTGGATCGACCCACAAAGCAATGGGAACCCCTTCAAGGCTTTTTGCGAAATGACAACTGATGGAGGTACCTTGGTGCTTTTTGTTTTCAAGTGTTGATTTTTTTCTCGGTTATTTATGGAAGCAGGTTTCTTTTTGTTTTTTAATGCAAAGGAGGCTGGATGATATTGTTAAACGTTGTTGGAAAGAATCGTCTGTACAACTACGCAGCTTTTGTGATTTATACTGATCAACAACGACCTGTCAACTGGAGACTTTTGGAAAGTTTATGTCCGTTGAAATACTCCTTCTTGCAATAACTTTGTAATATAACGAAGTATGAACGAGAAAGAGAAAAAAAGTCGAATAAAAATTCATTAGCATATAAACTGCCTTCTAGCCATGTGCCTGACAGTCGAACGATTTTAAATTTGACAGTATTTTCACATCTAAGTCAAATAAACGCAATCTCCTTGGATCTGGCTTATACGTGGTTCAGCCACCTCACGTGCACCTCCTTTGTATACATGATTCCCCTCACATGAAACCTTCTTTTGTTTTTCTTGAAGTCTTGAGCTGTTATGTAACAATTTCGCTACAGCCTGGTCAATGTCAAGTGTGGAGGGTGCCAGTTATTTAACTGTACATAATCTGAAATTTTTATTCTTAATTTGTAAGTTAGCATAAGTATGGATAGTGTTATTATATTACTATATACCGGACAGGTGAATAGTGCTTGTCACGCGCCCTTATGTTCTGGCTCAGAAAATTAGGGCGCGTGATTATTGATTAGCAAAAATTATTTTCTCCGAGCAGCCGAACAGACAAAATCAGTCGTCAACAATTTAATTTCTGACTATTTTTTGGTATATTGACAGGAATAAACTACTCTTTCTGGTTTCTGTGTAGTATATACAAACATGAATTCACCTTAGTGTCAGTGAAAGTGGTAGATATTTACCTCCACTTCGGCGAATAATTGTTAATTATAGCTTACATATTCTCTATCGTTTATCAATGTGCACATTGTTTAAATTTAGGTTTTGTCGCGCATTTTTACAACAAGCCTTTGGTTCGGGAGATTAGGCGTCCACTCTCATGTTTTAGACATTAAATAAAGCTATCCTTATCGATATTTTCACGGAGTTTGCATTGAAAAATTGATTCAAACTAGTTAAGAGTAGAAGGTGTTTTATATTTTAATTTTATGGAGCAAGGAATCTGTTACGAAAAAGAAAAAAAAACCTTAATTGTCGATACGCCGTGTAGAAGCAAATAAGGTCCCAGTCGAGAAGCTTCTGATCTGGTGATGTTTGTCACATCAAAACGAAAAATCCCTGTGGGAGATGTTACTCAAACTGAGGTCACGTGCCTCCTTTTCGAAATAGCAATTGCGTATTTTCGCTCACGTCTTTTCCTGGTTTACAATCATATTTAAACCTGCTAAATAGTCGTTAGATTATATATTTAAAGACTTGCTACAAAAGTAAGGTTTTCTAAGCTACCCTTACGAAATATCAATGTTGACCTGAGACCTCAAGATGCATACGCTTTCTATTCTTAAAAGGTTTTCATTTTCTTTTCTCTTGGTTTTTTTCTTTTTTTTTTTGTATTTTGGATTTCAAGTCACAAAACAATGAAAAGTGTCAAAGGGTCTTACGGTCAATATTAGTACTATGTGTTGTATGAATGTTTAAATTTGCATGATTGCACGACATTATCCGAGGAAAAATATTAATTTTTTTGTTTAAAAATTCTTGTCGACTTATCATTCAGAGTGGTGAGGTATATATATATATTTATATATTTATATAGATATATATCGCGTGCCTCCCTGGAGGTGCATTGTGTATTTTCGCTTGCGTTTTTTCTGGGTTGAAAAGATTTATAAACCTGCTAGACAATAGTTAGATAATAGTTTATAGATTTCCTAAAATTTATTAAAACTTGTTGAGGGTAGCAGGTGCTTTATATTTTGATTTTATGGAAAGAGGAAGTCAATAGAAAAAAGAAGAAAAAAAACCTAACTGTCGATATGCCCTGTATAAGCAAATGAGATCTAACTCGAGAACCTTATGATCTGGTGATGGCTACGACATCAAAGGAAAACTCCCTGTGGGTTATATTACTCTAACTGACGTGCCTCCCTTTCCAAACAACATTTGTGTATTTTTGCTCCCGTTCTCTCTGGGCTGCTACAAAAGTAAGGTTTTTGAAGCTGACCCTTACGAACTGTCAAACTTGACCTGAGACCTCAATAAAACATACGCTATCTATTCTTTTAAAAGGTTTTGATTTTCTTTTCTCTTGGTTATTTTTTTCTATTTTGGTTTACAGGTCACAAAAGAATGCCAAGTGTCAAAGGGTCTTACCGTCAATATTAGTACCATGCGTTATATAACTGTTTAAAATTGCATGATTGCACGACATTATCAAAGAAAAAGAATGCTAATTCCCCTGTAGCTAGTTGGTTCGAGATCTCTGTGGCACAAACAGTTACTGGCGATACCAGATGGATGTTTTCTCGTTCTGGTTCATTTTGGCCTCATATTCGGTTAAAACATTTGCTCAGCGATGTAAGGTAACGCAACGATCTGAACATGGCTTAGTTCTCCTTGATCACGTTTTCAAATCATTCACTGTGGATCGGTTGGTTTCGTGTTATATTGCCTGCAATTCACAGCCTGCGTGCCAAAGCCTTAACTTCAGGCTGAGTGACAAAACTTGCCAGTTTAACAACGAAACTAAGACTTCCTGCCCAGCCAGTCTGAAGCAGAATGAAGGGTTTATCTACGCTGATAACCCAGATCGAGGTGAGAATATCTTAAGAACAAATTTTTTTCCTGGTTATTTCGACAACCGAAGAAATTGGAAGACGTAACGTCAAGGGAACTGGTTACGTAATGAGTCCACTTAGTTACAAGGTCTCAAGAAATGCAAAAAGTCTACGTCATTCCGTCAAAGAGTATTAAAAAGAAACTAAGATTTCCTGCCCAGCCAGTCTGAAACAAAATGCAGGGTTTATTTTTGCTGATAACCCAAATCGAGGTGAGAATATCCTACAAACAATTTGGTTTTTTTATCGGTCCGTGTTTATTAAAAAGAATATGGTTACATTTTTTTCATGGATCTGCGATAGTGTTATCAAGGAAACTTTTGTTGACCAGCAAACTTTTATTCCTTGTTACTCGAACAAATGAAGAAATTAGAAGATATAATTTCGGGGGAATTGGTTACGTAACGAGTCCACTTAGTTCTAAGTTCTCAAGAATACGTAATTAGTCTGTGTCATTCCGTCAAAAATTAGACTTCCACCGTTATAGTTGCTAAAATCTAACTTTCATTTCATTCGTGAAATAGACTCATTTTTAAGAGCCTAGCGGCATAACAACTGCCCTATTAAAAACACCCTTTAGTTATGGTATTATTGAAACTTGTCTTTAACTGCAAATTATGATGTAGACCAATAGGTTGTAACAAGTATTTTCATTTATATAAATGTTAATTGTGTTGTTTACAATTGTATGATTTGTTGATTACTCATGCAAAGTATGATGATTTGTTTGCATATTTTTGGTTGCAGCTCTTCTCGGGTCAGTTCCCTTCAAAGCTGCAAAGTCCTGTCAACATATCATTCAGAGTGGAGATTCTACTGGGAATGGAGAATACTGGGTCGACCCACAAGGCACTGGGAACTCCTTCAAGGCTTTTTGTGACATGACAACTGATGGAGGTACCTCAGTCTTTTTTTTGTTTTTTGTTTTCAAATGTTGGGTTTTTTCTTTGTGGTTTATATAACCAGGCATTTTTTTATCGATAGGAGGCTGGATGATGGTTTTGAACGTTATTTTGCCAAGCCCCCAATATTCAAAGTGGAATGTCACAGCTGAACAAACGTTTCAAGGTATGCGTAACTACGCAAACGGCAAAATGGCTATAACCAGAAGCGCCATGAAACAACTAAGAGCGTACATAAACTTCACCCAAATAAGATTTCACTGCGGCAAAAAAAAAGGAACAACATTCCACGTCAGAACGACTCTGAACAAAAAAGGTGCAGAGGTGGTGCGATTATTCAGCGGTGAAAGAGATGAGAGGCCAGACTCGTGCGACTCCTTCGTCCGTATGGATGGTGATAACTCAAGACTGGCTCAGAATTGTGCGATATGGGCAAATGATGGTAAGTGGGGACATGCCAGCCATAGTGTTGGAGAGAATTGTCTGTACAACCACGCAGCATATGTGGTCAACCGATATCACTGGATAATTTCTGTTCGTGGCCGCTGGAATTGCGATGATTCTACTAAAAGCGTGTCTCCTGGAGACTTTTGGAAAGTTTATATCCGTTGAAATACACGTTCTTGCAATAACTTTGTATTAGGACAAACCATAAGGGAAAAAGCGAAAAAGTCAAATGGAAGTTCAAATACATATAAACTACTCTCTGGCCACATGCATGACAGTCGAATGACTTTTAATTTGATAGTTTTTTGACCTTGTAAATCAACTAAAAACACAGTCTCCTTGGATCTGGCATATACGTGGCTCAGCCACCTTATATGGTCTTGTCACGTGCACCTCCTTTGTATACATGATTCCCCTCACATTGAACCTTCTTTCGTTTTCTGTAAAGTCTTGAACTGTTATGTAATAATTTCCTTCTACCAATGTCAAGTGTTTAGGGTCGCAGTTATTTAAGTGTACATAAAATCTGACATTTCAACTCTTAATTTGTAAGTTAGTATAAGTATGGATCTTATTCTTAGTGTGATTTTAATTACTATATATCGCACAGGTGAATAGAGCTTTTTGCGCGCCTTCATGTGGTGGTTCAGAAGTGATTAGCAAGAACTGTTACCTCCGAATTGCCGAAGAGACAAAGTCGCGCGTGAACAATTTCATTTCTGACCATTATTTGGTATATTGACAGGAATAAACTTATCTTTTTGGTGTCTGTGTAGTATACACAAAACAGATATTCACCTTTGTTTAGTGAAAGTGGTATTATTTACCTCCACTTTGGTAAATAAATGTTAATTATAGCTTATATATTCTTCATCGTTTATTAATATACATATTGTTTAAAAACGTTTTGTCGAGTGTTTTTAAAACAAACCTTTGGCTTGGGAGACTAGGCGTGCACTCCCATGTTTTAGACATTTAACAAATTTATCCTTATTCATATTTTCACAGAGTTTACATTAAAAAATGTATTTAAACTGGTTGAGAGTAGCAGGTGTGTAATATTTTAATTTTATGGAAAGAGGAAAGTATATAAAAGAAAGAAAAAAAACTCTATTGTCGATACGCCCTACAAGCAAATAAGATACTAGTCGGGAGCCTAATTATCTTGTGATGTTCATGACATCAAAGTGAAAAATCCCTGTAGGATATGTTACTCTAACTGTGGTTGCGTTCCTCCCTTTTGAAATAAATCATATTTAACCCTGTTACATAGTCGTTAATTGATAGATTTGTAGACTTGCTATAAAAATAAAGCTTTTGAAGCTGACCTTTACGAAATGTCAAAGTTGGACTGAGACCTCAAGATGCATGCGCCATCTATTTTTAAAAGGTTTTCATTTTCTTTTCCTTTGTTATTTTTATTTTGGATTTTAGGTCACAAAAGAATGCAAAGTGTCAAAGGGTGTTACGGTCAATATTAGTATTATGCATTCTATGACAGTTTAAAATTGGTTAATTGCACGCCATTACCAAAGAAAAATGCTAATTTCCCTGAATCAGGTGCTAACGATACTAGATGGATGTTTTCAAATAAAAGTTCAACAGCATGTAAACTGCCTTCTGACCATATGCCTGACAGTCGAACGATTTTAAATTTGACAGTATTTTCACATCTAAGTCAAATAAACACAATCTCCTTTGATCTGGCTTATACGTGGTTCAGCCACCTTACATGGTCTTCTCACGTGCACCTCCTTAATTTGTATACATGATTCCCCTCACATGAAACCTTCTTTTGTTTTCCTTGAAGTCTTGAGCTATTATGTAACAATTTCGCTCCAGCCTGGTCAATGTCAAGTGTGGAGGGTGCCAGTTATTTAACTGTACATAATCTGAAATTTGTATTCTTAATTTGTAAGTTAGCATAAGTGTGGATAGTGTTATTTTCATTACTATATACCGCACAGGTGAATAGTGCTTGTCACGCACCCTTATTTTCTGGCTCAGAATTGATTTGCAAAAGTTGATTTCTCCGAGCAGCCGAACAGACAATATCGGGCGTCAACAATTTAATTTCTGACTATTTTTTTGTATATTGATAAGAATAAACTACTCTTTCTCGTTTCTGTGTAGAATATACAAACATGAATTCACCTTAGTGTCAGTGAAAGTGGTAGATATTTACATGTACCTCCACTTCGGCGAATAATTGTAAATTATAGCTTACATATTCTCTATTATTTTTCAATGTGCACACTGTTTAAATTTAGGTTTTTTCGAGCGTTTTTACAACAAGCCTTTGGTTCGGGAGACTAGGCGTCCACTCTCATGTTTTAGACATTAAATATAGCTATCCTTATCGATATTTTGACGGAGTTTGCACCGAAAAATTGATTCAAACTAGTTAAGAGTAGAAGGTGTTGTATATTTTAATTTTATGGAGCAAGGAATCTATTACGAAAAAGAAAAAAAAAACCTAATTGTCGATATGCCCTGTAAAGGAAATAAGGTCCCAGTCGAGAAGCTTCTGATCTGGTGATGTTTATCACATCAAAATGAAAAATCCCTGTGGGAGATGTTACCCAAACTGAAGTCACGTGCCTCCTTTTCGAAATAGCAATTGCGTATTTTCGCTCTCGTTTTTTTCTGGTTTACAGTCATATTTAAACCTGCTTGGTGGTCGCTAGATTATATATTTAAAGACTTGCTACAAAAGTAAGGTTTTCTAAGCTGACCCTTACGAAATGTCAAAGTTGACCTGAGACCTCAAGATGCATACGCTATCTATTCTTAAAAGGTTTTCATTTTCTTTTCTCTTGGTTTTTTTCTTTTTTCTTTTTTTTGTATTTTGGATTTCAAGTCACAAATCAATGAAAAGTGTGAAAGGAACTTACGGTCAATATTAGTACTATGTGTTGTATGAATGTTTAAATTTGCATGATTGCACGACATTATCCGATGAAAAAGTGTTAATTTTTTTTTTTTAAAAATTCTTGTTAACTTATCATTCAGAGTGGTTAGGTATATATATATTTATATATATAGATATAGATATATATAGCGCGTGCCTCCCTGGAGGTGTATTGTGTATTTTTGCTCGCGTTTTTTCTGGGTTGAAAACATTTATAAAACTGCCAGACAATCGTTAGATAATAGTTTATGGATTTGCTAAAATTTATTAAAGCTTGTTGACGGTAGCAGGTGCTCTATATTTTGATCTTATGGAAAGAGGAACTTAATACAAAAAAGAAAATAAAAACCTAAATGTCGATATGCCCTGTATAAGCAAATGAGATCCTACTCGAGAACCTTATGATCTGCTGATGGCTATAACATCAAAGTAAAACTCCCTGTGGGTTATGTTACTCTCGCTGCGGTCACGTGCCTCCCTTTCCAAACAACATTTGAGTATTTTTTTCTCCCGTTTTCTCTAGGCTGCTACAAAGGTAAGGTTTTTGAAGCTGACCCTTATGAAATGTCAAAGTTGACCTGAGACCTCAATATGCATATGCTATCTATTTTAAAAGGTTTTGATTTCCTTTCCTCTTGGTTATTTTTTTTTTTATTTTGGTTTGCCGGTCACAAAAGAATGCAAAGTGTCAAAGGGTCTTACCGTCAATATTAGTATTATGCGTTGTTAAACTGTTTAAAATTGCATGATTGAACGACATTATCAAAGAAAAAGAATGCTAATTCCCCTGTAGCTAGTTAGTTCGAATTCTCCGTGGTGCGAACAGTTACTGGCTATACTAGATGGAAGTTTTCTCGTTCTGGTTCATTTTGGCCTCATATTCGGTTAAAACAATTGCTCAGCAATGTAAGTTGACGCAACGATCTGAACATGGCTTGGTTCTCCTTGATCACGTATACAAATCATTCACTGTGGATCGGTTGGCTTCGTGTTATATTGCCTGCAATTCACAGCCTACGTGCCAAAGCCTTAACTTCAGGCTGAGTGACAAAACTTGCCAGTTTAACAAAGAAACTAAGACTTCCTGCCCAGCCAGTCTGAAGCAGAATGAAGGCTTTATCTATGCTGATAATCCAGATCGAGGTGAGAATATCTTAAGAGCAAATTTTTTTCCTGGTTATTTCGACAACCGAAGAAATTGGAAGACGTAACGTCAAGGGAATTGGTTACGTAATGAGTCCACTTAGTTACAAGGTCTCAAGAAATGCAAAAAGTCTACGTCATTCCGTCAAAGAGTATTAAAAATAAACTAAGATTTCCTACCCAGCCAGTCTGAAACAAAATGCAGGGTTTATTTTTGCTGATAACCCAAATCGAGGTGAGAATATCCTTAAAACACTTTGGTTTTTTTTTATCGGTCTGTGTTTATTAAAAAGAATATGGTTACATTTTTTTCATGGATCTGCCATAGTGTTATCAAGGAAACTTTTGTTGGCCAGCAAACTTTTATTCCTTGTTACTTGAACAAATGAAGAAATTGGAAGATATAATTTCAGGGGAATTGGTTACGTAACGAGTCAACTTAGTTCTAAGTTCTCAAGATTACGTAATTAGTCTGTGTCATTCCGTCAAAAATTAGACTTCCACCGTTATAGTTGCTAAAATCTAACTTTCATTTCATTCGTGAAATAGACCCATTTTTAAGAGACAAACGGCATAACAACTGCCCTATTAAAAACGCCCTTTAGTTATGGTATTATTGAAACTTGTCTTTAACTGCAAATTATGATGTAGATCAATAGGTTATAACAAGTATTTTCATTTCTATAAATGTTAATTGTGTCGTTTACAATTGTATGATATGTTGATTACTCATGCAAAGTATGATGATTTGTTTGCATATTTTTGGTTGCAGCTCTTCTCGGGTCAGTTCCCTTCAAAGCTGCAAAGTCCTGTCAACACATCATTCAGAGTGGAGATTCTACTGGGAATGGAGAATACTGGGTCGACCCACAAGGCACTGGAAACTCCTTCAAGGCTTTTTGTGACATGAAAACTGATGGAGGTACCTCAGTCTTTTTTTCGTTTTTTGTTTTCAAATGTTGGGTTTTTTTCTTTGTGTTTTATATCACCAGGCTTTTTTTTTATCGATAGGAGGCTGGATGATGGTGTTGAACGTTATTTCGCCAAGAACCCAATCTTCAAGGTGGAATGGCACAGCTGAACAAACGTTTCAAGGTATGCGTAACTACGGAAACGGCAAAATGGCTATAACCAAAAGCGCCATGAAACAAGTAAGAGCGTACATAAACTTTGCCCAAATAAGATTTCACTGCAGCAAAGAAAAAGGAACAACATTCCACGTCAGAACGACTCTGAACAACAAAGGTACAGAAGTGGTGCGATTTTTCAGCGGTGAAAGAGATGAGAGGCCAGACTCGTGCGACTCCTTCGTCCGTATGGATGGTGATAACTCAAGACTGGCTCAGAATTGTGCGATGTGGGCAAATGATGGTAAGTGGGGACATGTCAGCCATAGTGTTGGAGAGAATTGTCTGTACAACCACGCAGCATATGTGCGCAGCCGGTATCACTGGATAATTTCTATTGATGGCCAATGGAAATGCGATGATCTTGCTAACCACCTTTCTACTGGAGACTTTTGGAAAGTTTATATCCGTTGAAATACACGTTCTTGCAATAACTTTGTATTAGGACAAACCATAAGGGAAAAAGTGAAAAAGTCAAATGGAAGTTCAAATACATATAAACTACTCTCTGGCCACATGCCTGACAGTCGAATGACTTTTAATTTGATAGTTTTTTGACCTTGTAAATCAACTAAAAACACAGTCTCCTTGGATCTGGCTTATACGTGGCTCAACCACCTAATATGGTCTTGTCACGTGCACCTCCTTTGTATACATGATTCCCCTCACATTGAACCTACTTTCGTTTTCTGTAAAGTCTTGAACTGTTATGTAATAATTTCCCTCTACCAATGTCAATGTCAAGTGTTTAGGGTGCCAGTTATTTAAGTGTACATAAAATCTGACATTTCAACTCTTAATTTGTAAGTTAGTATAAGTATGGATCTTACTCTTAGTGTGATTTTTATTACTATATATCGCACAGGTGAATAGAGCTTTTTGTGCGCCTTCATGTGGTGGTTCAGAAGTGATTAGCAAGACCTATAACCTCAGAGTTGCCGAAGAGACAAAGTCGCGCGTGAACAATTTCATTTCTGACCATTGTTTGGTATATTGACAGGAATAAACTTATCTTTTTGGTGTCTGTGTAGTATACACAAAACAGATATTCACCTTTGTTTAGTGAAAGTGGTATTATTTACCTCCACTTTGGTAAATAAGTGTTAATTATAGCTTATATATTCTTCATCGTTTATTAATATACATATTGTTTAAAAACATTTTGTCGAGTGTTTTTAAAACAAGCCTTTGGCTTGGGAGACTAGGCGTGCACTCCCATGTTTTAGACATTTAACAAATTTATCCTTATTCATATTTTCACAGAGTTTACATTAAAAAATGTATTTAAACTGGTTGAGAGTAGCAGGTGTGTAATATTTTAATTTTATGGAAAGAGGAAAGTATATAAAAGAAAGAAAAAAAACTCTATTGTCGATATGCCCTACAAGCAAATAAGATACTAGTCGGGAGCCTAATTATCTTGTGATGTTCATGACATCAAAGTGAAAAATCCCTGTGGGATATGTTACTCTAACTGTGGTTGCGTTCCTCCCTTTTGAAATAAATCATATTTAACCCTGTTACATAGTCGTTAATTGATAGATTTGTAGACTTGCTATAAAAATAAAGCTTTTGAAGCTGACCTTTACGAAATGTCAAAGTTGGACTGAGACCTCAAGATGCATGCGCCATCTATTTTTAAAAGGTTTTCATTTTCTTTTCCTTTGTTATTTTTATTTTGGATATTAGGTGACAAAAGAATGCAAAGTGTCAAAGGGTGTTACGGTCAATATTAGTATTATGCGTTGTATGACAGTTTAAAATTGCTTAATTGCACGCCATTACCAAAGAAAAAATGCTAATTTCCCTGAAGCAGGTGTTAACGATACCAGATGGATGTTTTCAAATAAAAGTTCAACAGCATGTAAACTGCCTTCTGGCCATATGCCTGACAGTCGAACGATTTTAAATTTGACAGTATTTTCACATCTAAGTCAAATAAACACAATCTCCTTTGATCTGGCTTATACGTGGTTCAGCCACCTTACATGGTCTTCTCACGTGCACCTCCCTTTGTATACATGATTCCCCTCACATAAAACCTTCTTTTGTTTTCCTTGAAGTCTTGAGCTATTATGTAACAATTTTGCTCCAGCCTGGTCAATGTTAAGTGTGGAGGGTGCCAGTTATTTAACTGTACATAATCTGAAATTTGTATTCTTAATTTGTAAGTTAGCATAAGTGTGGATAGTATTATTTTCATTATTATATACCGCACAGGTGAATAGTGCTTGTCACGCACCCTTATGCTCTGACTCAGAATTGATTAGCAAAAATTGCTCTCTCCGAGCAGCCGAACAGACAATATCGGGCGTCAACAACTTAATTTCTGACTATTTTTTTGTATATTTATAAAAATAAACTACTCTTTCTGGTTTCTGTGTAGTATATACAAACATGAATTCACCTTAGTGTCAGTGAAAGTGGTAGATATTTACATGTACCTCCACTTCGGCGAATAATTGTTAATTAAAGCTTACATATTCTCTATTGTTAATCAATGTGCACACTGTTTAAATTTAGGTTTTGTCGAGCGTTTTTACAACAAGCCTTTGGCTCGGGAGACTAAGCGTCTACTCATGTTTTGAGACATTAAATACAGCTATCCTTATCGATATTTTGACGGAGTTTGCACCGAAAAATTGATTCAAACTAGTTGAGAGTAGCAGGTGTTTTATATTTTAATTTTATGGAGCAAGGAATCTATTACGAAAAAGAAAAAAAAAACTTAATTTCCGATATGCCCTGTACAAGCAAATAAGGTCCCAGTCGAGAAGCTTATGATCTGGTGATGTTTATCACATCAAAATGAAAAATCCCTGTGGGAGATGTTACTCTAACCGAGGTCACGTGCCTCCCTTTCGAAATAGCAATTGTGTATTTTCGCTCGCTTTTTTTTCTGGTTTACAATCATATTTAAACCTGCTAGATAGCCGTTACATTATATATTTAAAGACTTGCTACAAAAGTAAGGTTTGTGTCAAAGTTGACCTGAGACCTCAAGATGCATACGCTTTCTATTCTTAAAAGGTTTTCATTTTTTTTTCTCCTGGCTTTTTTTCTTTTTTTTTATTGTATTTTGGATTTCAAGTCACAAAACAATGAAAAGTGTCAAAGGGTGTTACGGTCAATATTAGTACTATGTGTTATATGAATGTTTAAATTTGCATGATTGCACGACATTATCCGAGGAAAAATATTAATTTTTTTGTTTGAAAATTCTTGTCGACTTATCATTCAGAGTGGTGAGGTATATATATATTTATATAGATATATATCGCATGCCTCCCTGGAGGTGTATTGTGTATTTTTGCTTGCGTTTTTTCTGGGTTGAAAACATTTATAAACCTGCTAGACAATCGTTAGATAATAGTTTATAGATTTCCTAAAATTTATTAAAACTTGTTGAGGGTAGCAGGTGCTTTATATTTTGATTTTATGGAAAGAGGAAGTCAATAGAAAAAGAAGGAAAAAAAACCTAACTGTCGATATGCCCTGTATAAGCAAATGAGATCTAACTCGAGAACCTTATGATCTGGTGATGGCGATGACATCAAAGGAAAACTCCCTGTGGGTTATATTACTCTAACTGAGGTCACGTGCCTCCCTTTCCAAACAACATTTGTGTATTCTTGCTCCCGTTCTCTCTGGGCTGCTACAAAAGTAAGGTTTTTGAGGCTGACCCTTACGAACTGTCAAAGTTGACCTGAGACCTCAATAAAACATACGCTATCTATTCTTTTAAAAGGTTTTGATTTTCTTTCCTCTTGGTTATTTTTTTTTCTATTTTGGTTTTCAGGTCACAAAAGAATGCAAAGTGTCAAAGGGTCTTACCGTCAATATTAGTACCATGCGTTGTATAACTGTTTAAAATTGCATGATTGCACGACATTGTCAAAGAAAAAGAATACTAATTCCCCTATAGCTAGTTGGTTGGAGATCTCTGTGGCCCAAACAGTTACTGGCGATACCAGATGGATGTTTTCTCGTTCTGGTTCATTTTGGCATCGTATTCGGTTAAAACATTTGCTCAGCAATGTAAGTTGACGCAACGATCTGAACATGGCTTAGTTCTCCTTGATCACGTGTTCAAATCATTCACTGTGGATCGGTTGGCTTCGTGTTATATTGCCTGCAATTCACAGCCAGTGTGTCAAAGCCTTAACTTCAGGCTGAGTGACAAAACTTGCCAGTTTAACAAAGAAAGTAATATTTCCTGCCCAGCCAGTCTGAAGCAGAATGAAGGGTTTATCTATGCTGATAACCCAGATCGAGGTGAGAATATCTTAAGAACAAATTTTTTTCCTGGATATTTCGACAACCGAAGAAATTGGAAGACATAACGTGAAGGGAATTGGTTACGTAATGAGTCCACATAGTTACAAGGCCTCAAGAAATGCAAAAAGTCTACGTCATTCCGTCAAAGAGTATTAAAAAGAAACTAATATTTCCTGCCCAGCCAGTCTGAAACAAAATGCAGGGTTTATTTTTTTGCTGATAACCCAAATCGAGGTGAGAATATCCTTAAAACACTTTGGTTTTTTTATCGGTCCGTGTTTATTAAAAAGTATATGGTTACATTTTTTTCATGGATCTGCCATAGTGTTATCAAGGAAACTTTTGTTGGCCAGCAAACTTTTATTCCTTGTTACTTGAACAAATGAAGAAATTGGAACTGATATAATTTCGGGGGAATTGGTTACGTAACGAGTCCACTTAGTTCTAAGTTCTCAAGAATACGTAATTAATCTGTGTCATTCCGTCAAAAATTAGACTTCCACCGTTATAGTTGCTAAAATCTAACTTTCATTCGTGAAATAGACCCATTTTTAAGAGACAAACGACATAACAACTGCCCTATTAATAACACCCTTTAGTTATGGTATTATTGAAACTTGTCTTCAACTGCAAATTATGATGTAGATCAATAGGTTGTAACAAGTATTTTCATTTATATAAATGTTAATTGTGTTGTTTACAATTGTATGATATGTTGACTACTCATGCAAAGTATGATGATTTGTTTGCATATTTTTGGTTGCAGCTCTTCTCGGGTCAGTTCCCTTCAGAGCTGCAAAGTCCTGTCAACATGTCTTTCAGAGTGGAGATTCCACTGGGAATGGGGAATACTGGATCGACCCACAAGGCACTGGGAACTCCTTCAAGGCTTTTTGCGACATGACAACTGGTGGAGGTACCTTAGTCCTTTTTTGTTGTTTTTTGTTTTCAAATGTTGGGTTTTTTTCTTTGTGGTTTATATAACCAGGCATTTTTTTATCGATAGGAGGCTGGATGATGGTTTTGAACGTTATTTTGCCAAGCCCCCAATCTTCAAGGTGGAATGGCATAGCTGAACAAACGTTTCAAGGTATGCGTAACTACGGAAACGGCAAAATGGCTATAACCAAAAGCGCCATGAAACAACTAAGAGCGTACATAAACTTTACCCAAATAAGATTTCACTGCAGCAAAGAAAAAGGAACAACATTCCACGTCCGAACGACTCTGAACAACAAAGGTACAGAAGTGGTGCGATATTTCAGCGGTGAAAGAGATGAGATGCCGGACTCGTGTGACTCCTTCGTCCGTATAGATGGTGACAACTCAAGACTAGCTCAGAATTGTGCGACATGGGCATATCATGGTAAGTGGGGACATGTCAGCCATAATGTTGGAGAGAATCGTCTGTACAACTACGCAGCATTTGTGGCCCACAGTTATCATTGGGTAATTCCTACTGGTGGCCACTGGAAGTGCGATGATAATACTGGCGACAACCTGTCTACTGGAGACTTTTGGAAAGTTTATGTCCGTTGAAATACAGCTTCTTGGAATAACTTTGTATTAGGACAAAGCATAAGCGAAAAAGAGAAAAAGTCAAATGAAAATTCAAATGTATATTAACTACTCTCTGGCCACATGCCTGACAGTCGAATGATTTCAAATTTGACCTTTTAAGTCAACCAAAAACACAATCTGGTTAGATCTGGCTCATACGTGGCTCAGCCACCTTATACGGTCTTCTCACGTGCACCTCCTTTGTATACATGATTCCCCTCACATGGAACTTACACTCGTTTTCTGTAAAGTCTTGAAGTATTATGTAACAATTTCGCTCTAGCCTGGTCAATGTCTAGTGCTTAGGGTGCCAGTTATTTAACTGTACATAAAATCTGACATTTTAACTCTTAATTTGTAAGTTAGTATAAGTATGGATACTAGTCTTAATGTGATTTTTTTACTATATACCGCACAGGTAAATAGTGCTTTCCGTGCGCCCCTGTATGCTGGTTCAGAAGTGATTAGCAAGACCTATAACCTCAGAATTGCTGAAGAGACAAAGTCGCACGTCAACAATTTCATTTCTGACCATTACTTGGTATATTGACAGGAATAAACTTATCTTTTTGGTGTCTGTGTACTATACACAAGACAGATATTCACCTTTGTTCAGTGAAAGTGGTATTATTTACCTCCACTTCGGTAAATAAATGTTAATTATAACTTGTATATTCTTCATCGTTTCTCAATGTACATATTGTTTAAAAAAGTTTTGTCGAGTGTTTTTAAAACAAGCCTTTGGCTTGGGAGACTAGGCGTGCACTCCCATGTTTTAGACATTAAACAAATTTATCCTTATCCATATTTTCACAGAGTTTGTATTAAAAAATGTATTTAAACTGGTTGAGAGTAGCAGGTGTGTAATATTTTAATTTTATGGAAAGAGGAAAGTATATAAAAGAAAGAAAAAAACTCTATTGTCGATATGCCCTACAAGCAAATAAGATACTAGTCGGGAGCCCAATTATCTTGTGATGTTTATGACATCAAAGTGAAAAATCCCTGTGGGATATGTTACTCTAACTGTGGTTGCGTTCCTCCCTTTTGAAATAGGAATTGTGTATTCTTGTTTTCTTTCTTTTATGGTTTAAAAACATATTTAACCCTGCTAGATTGATTAATTGATAGATTTGTAGACTTGTTATAAAAGTAAAGCTTTCGAAGGCGACCCTTACGAAATGTCATAGTTGGACTGAGACCTCACGATACATGCGCCATCTATTTTTAAAAGGTTTTCATTCTCTTTTCCTTTGTTATTTTTATTTTGGATTTTAGGTCACAAAAGAATGCAAAGTGTCAAAGGGTGTTACGGTCAATATTAGTATTATGCGTTGTATGACAGTTTAAAATTTGCTTAATTGCACGCCATTACCAAAGAAAAAATGCTAATTTCCCTGAAGCCAGTTGGTTTTGAGATCTCTGGGGCACGAACACGGTCACGACCGCAGGTGCTGACGATACTAGATGGATGTTTTCAAATAAAAGTTCAACAGCATATAAACTGCCTTCTGGCCATATGCCTTACAGTCGAACTATTTCAAATTTGACAGTAGTTTCACATCTAAGTCAAATAAAGACAATCTCCTTTGAGCTGGCTTATACGTGGTTCAGCCACCTTACATGGTCTTGTCACGTGCACCTCCTTTGTATACATGATTCCCCTCACATGAAACCTTCTTTTGTTTTTCTTGAAGTCTTGAGCTAGTATTGAACAATTTCGGATGTGTCCTCGTGTACCGGTACACAAAGGAACGAAACATTAACGAACTGCGTCACAACTCCATGTAAGGATATGAAAACAATAGGAATTCTCCCGTGTACCGGTACACCAGGACAGCCCCACAATTTCGCTCCAGCCTGGTTAATGTCAAGTGTGGAGGGTGCCAGTTATTTAATTGTACATAATCTGAAATTTTTATTCTTAATTTGTAAGTTAGCATAAGTATGGATAGTGTTATTTTCATTACTATATACCGCACAGGTGAATAGTGCTTGTCACGCACCCTTATGTTCTGGCTCAGAATTGATTAGCAAAAATTGCTTTCTCCGAGCAGCCGAACAGACAATATCGGGCGTCAACAACTTAATTTCTGACTATTTTTTTGTATATTGATAAGAATAAACTACTCTTTCTGGTTTCTGTGTAGTATATACAAACATGAATTCACCTTACTGTCAGTGAAAGTGGTAGATATTTACATGTATCTCCACTTCGGCGAATAATTGTTAATTATAGCTTACATGTTCTCTATTGTTAATCAATGTGCGCACTGTTTAAATTAGACATTGAATATAGCTATCCTTATCGATATTTTGACGGAGTTTGCACCGAAAAATTGATTCAAACTAGTTAAGAGTAGCAGGTGTTTTATATTTTAATTTTATGGAGCAAGAAATCTATTACGAAAAAGAAAAAAAATCTTAATTGCCGATATGCCCTGTACAAGCAAATAAGGTCCCAGTCGAGAAGCTTATGATCTGGTGATGTTTATCACATCAAAATGAAAAATCCCTGTGGGAGATGTTACTCTAACCGAGGTCACGTGCCTCCCTTTCGAAATAGCAATTGTGTATTTTCGCTCGCTTTTTTTTATACAATCATATTTAAACCTGCTATATAGCCGTTACATTATATATTTAAAGACTTGCTACAAAAGTAAGGTTTGTGTCAAAGTTGACCTGATCTTGTTTTTTTCTTTTTTTTTTTGTATTTTGGATTTCAAGTCACAAAACAATGAAAAGTGTCAAAGGGTCTTACGGTCAATATTGGTACTATGTGTTATATGAATGTTTAAATTTGCATGATTGCACGACATTATCCGCGGAAAAAGTGTTAATTTTTTTATTTAAAAATTCTTGTCAACTTATCATTCAGAGTGGTTAGGTATTTATATATATATATATATATATATATATATATATATATATAGGAAGTCTGCAGGTCGATTTTCGCGTGGAAGAGTGCTCAATACGTTGAAGTAGAGCAGAATAAATATTATGAGAGGAAAAAACGACGCAACTACATATCCCGACAAGCCTGTTTCGTGAATCGCTTCACTCTTTAAACCCCTGAAGAGTGAAGCGATTCACGAAACAGGCTTGTCGGGATATGTAGTTGCGTCGTTTTTTCCTCTCATAATATATATATATATATATATAGATATCGCGTGCCTCCCTGGAGGTGTATTGTGTATTTTTGCTCGCGTTTTTTCTGGGTTGAAAACATTTATAAACCTGCTAGACAATCGTTAGATAATAGTTCATGGATTTGCTAAAATTTATTAAAACTTGTTGAAGGTAGCTGGTGCTTTATATTTTGATTTTTTGGAAAGAGGAAGTCAATAGAAAAAAGAAAAAAACCCTAAATGTCAATATGCCCAGTACTAGCAAATGAGGTCCTACTCGAGAACCGTATGATCTGGTGATGGCTATAACATCAAAGTAAAAATCCCTGTTGGTTATGTTACTCTCACTTAGGTCACGTGCCTCCCTTTCCAAACAACATTTGTGTATTTTTGCTCCCGTTCTCTCTGCGCTGCTACAAAAGTAAGGTTTTTGAAGCTGACCCTTATGAAATTTCAAGGTTGACCTGAGACCTAAATATACATACGCTATCTATTCTTTTAAAAGGTTTTGATTCCCTTTTCTCTTGGTTACTTTTTTTCTATTTTGGTTTTCAGGTCACAAAAGAATGCGAAGTGTCAAAGGGTCTTACCGTCAATATTAGTACCATGCGTTTTATAACTGTTTAAAATTGCATGATTGCACGACATTATCAAAGAAAAAGAATGCTAATTCCCCTGTAGCTAGTTAGTTCGAATTCTCTGTGGCGCGAACAGTTACTGGTGATACTAGATGGATGTTGTCTAATTCTGGTTCATTTTGGCATCATATTCGGTAAAAACATTTGCTCAGCGATGTAAGTTGACCCAAAGATCTGAACATGGCTTAGTTCTCCTTGATCACGTGTTCAAATCGTTCACTGTGGATCGGTTGGCTTCGTGTTATATTGCCTGCAATTCACAGCCAGTGTGTCAAAGCCTTAACTTCAGGACGAGTGACAAAACTTGCCAGTTTAACAAAGAAACTAAGACTTCCTGCCCAGCCAGTCTGAAGCAGAATGAAGGGTTTATTTATGCTGATAACCCAGATAGAGGTGAGAATATCTTAAGAGCAAATTTTGCTTTACTTGTTACTTCGAAAACTGAAGAAAGTGGAAAACACAACGTCAAAGGAATTGGTTACGTAATAAGTCCACTTACTTACAAGGTCTCAAGAAACGCAAAAACGTGTGCGTCATTCCGTCAAAGGGTATTAAAAGGAAACTAAGATTTCCTGCCCAGCCAGTCTGAAACAAAATACAGGGTTTATCTATGCTAATAACCCAAATCGAGGTGAGAATATCCTTAAAACACTTTGTTTTTTTTATCGGTCTGTGTTTGTTAAAAAGCATACGGTTACATTATTTACATGGTTCTTCCATAGTGTTATCAAGGAAACTTTTGTGGGCCATCAAACTTTTATTCCTCGTTACTTCGACAACTGAAGAAATTGGAAGACATAATTTCAAGGGAATTGGTTACGTAACGAGTCCACTTAGTTCTAAGTTCTCAAGAATACGTAATTAGTCTGTGTCATTCCGTCAAAAATTAGACTTCCACCGTTATAGTTACTACAATCTAACTTTCAGTCGTGAAATAGACCCATTTTTAAGAGCCAAACGGCATAAAAACTGCAGTATTAAATACACCCTTCAGTTATGGTATTATTAAAACTTGTCTTCAACTGCAAATTATGATGTAGATCAATGTGTTGTAACAAGTACTTTCATTTATAAATGTTAATTGTGTTGTTTACAGTTGTATGATATGTTGATTACTCATGCAAAGTATAATGATTTGTTGGCATATTTTTGGTTGCAGCTCTTCTCGGGTCAGTTCCCTTCAGAGCTTCAAAGTCCTGTCAACATATCATTC